GTTTATGAGCTTTACAACCTGAATCTAATGGATTAAACACGTCAGAGGGAGTTTATGAGCTTTACAACCTGAACCCAATGGATACAACACGTCAGAAGGAGTTTATGAGCTTTACAACCTAAACTCAATGGATAAAACACGTCAGAGGGAGTTTATGAGCTTTACAACCTGAACCCAATGGATAAAACACGTCAGAGGGAGTTTATGAGCTTTACAACCTGAATCTAATGGATAAAACACGTCAGAGGGAGTTTATGAGCTTTACAACCTTAATCTAATGGATAAAACACGTCAGAGCGAGTTTATGAGCTTTACAACCTGAATGTAATGGATTAAACACGTCAGAGCGAGTTTATGAGCTTTACAACCTGAATCTAATGGATTAAACACGTGAGAGGGAGTTGATGAGCTTTACAACCTGAATCTAATGGATAAAACACGTCAGAAGGAGTTTATGAGCTTTACAACCTAAACTCAATGGATAAAACACGTCAGAGGGAGTTTATGAGCTTTACAACCTGAATATAATGGATAAAACACGTCAGAGGGAGTTTATGAGCTTTACAACCTGAACCAAATGGGTAAAACACGTCAGAGCGAGTTTATGAACTTTACAACCTGAATCTAATGGATAAAACACGTCAGAGCGAGTTTATGAGCTTTACAACCTAAACCCAATGGATAAAACACGTCAGAGGGAGTTTATGAGCTTTACAACCTGAATATAATGGATAAAACACGTGAGAGGGAGTTTATGAGCTTTACAACCTGAACCAAATGGGTAAAACACGTCAGAGCGAGTTTATGAACTTTACAACCTGAATCTAATGGATAAAACACGTCAGAGCGAGTTTATGAGCTTTACAACCTAAACCCAATGGATAAAACACGTCAGAGGGAGTTTATGAGCTTTACAACCTGAATCTAATGGAAAAAAAACGTCAGAGCGAGTTTATGAGCTTTAAAACCTGAACCCAATGGATAAAACACGTCAGAGGTAGTTTATGAGCTTTACAACCTGAACCCAATGGATAAAACACGTCAGAGGGAGTTTATGAGCTTTACAACCTGAATCTAATGGAAAAAAACGAGGGGCGTCAGTTCCGTGATTTTATCCCTAAGATGAAAGTTTAAATCTCATAAAAACTCGAGGGTTGGTGTTTTATTTTACTTAAATACCAATCAAAAATACATAGAAAACAACATTTATCAAAATTTTATGTTTTAAACATACTTTCTATGAACCTTAGGAAACGGGCGTAAATTATCATTTTGATTGATCATCACTTCTGATCTAGGCTACAGAAAAGAAGGATGCGTGTTTGATTTGCGGGAATATATAGAAAAAAATTGTCATTTGATATTACATTAAATGTGTCCAAATATAAAATAAATTTCAATCGATAAACGTTCCTATGTTCCAATATCAACAGAAGTTGTATGAATAAAATCCCCGTTATGTTATAACATCCCTGTTAATGAGATTCAACCCGACTGAAAATTTGTGAAGATCCGGGGTAGAATAGGTCGTCAGCAAACCATGCTTGCTGTAAAAGGCGACTATGCTTGTGGAAAGAGGCGACTAACGGGATCGGGTGGTCAGGCTCGCTTGTTTGATGCATGTAATCGCATCCCATTCGCGTGGATCGATGCTCATGATGTCACTCACTGGATTGTCTGGTCCAGACTTGATTATTTACAGACCGCCGTCCTATAGCTGGAATATTGCTGAGTATGGCGTTAAACAACAAAGAAACAAAATCATTAGGGTAATGTCATTGGAGGTTTGTAAGATTATATATGCACACTGTGAGAATTGCAGGCCAGTGACACGTCTAAACATGTGAATAAATTGTTTAGAAATTTCGACCATGCCAGTAGGTAATGTTTCAAGATATTCCAGTTTTTTTTTGTTGCTTTTTGTTACATGCCCAACCCAAGCATTAGTCAAACCTCCGTACATATCCGTTTCATTTGAAAGGGAAAATGATGTATCATGCGATCACAGGAATACTTTGTCCTTTCTAACCAAACTTCTAAAACCTTTTATATCATAATGTAAGATTTCATGAATATTACACCATAATGCACACGTTAATAAAACGTGTCTATACGTATATACATATTGTACGTTCACTGGAATGTAGGGGCTGTCGGGTATCCTAATGGTTAAAGCGTTCGCTCGTCACGCCGAAGACCCGGGTTCGATCCCCGACATGGGTACAAAGTGTGAAGCCCATTTGTGGTGTCCCCCGCCGTGATATTGCTGGAATATTGCTAAAAGCGGCGTTAAACCATAATTACTAACTCACTAGAGTTTAACCAGAACACATCAACACTTCCTCATTATTTTCCTTCAGCACATTCGGACGAAAAAGGAAATGACTATGAAGAGCAGATAATATAATAGAAACTCAAACGTTGAAGGCATCAACCAAGTCAGCGAGCCTGACAACCCGATCCCGTTAGTCGCCTCTTATGACAAGCATTGTCGCTGAAGACCCATTGTAACCCGGATCTTCATGGGACCCATTTCATATTGCTAGCAAAGTACATATTAATACGAAATATACAAAATGAAAACACATCGCTTCCCGCATGCATACCGCAGCATCCCAAATGAATATTGAGACATTTTGGAAATCAGACCTAATGATAAACTTTTGTCATAGCATTATCACATGTCACTCCCCTTTTGTGAAATGTTTTTATCTACACCGGTTTGACTGAAATAATGTGTTTGTTTGTGCGACGACATGCTCGGCAAGTGCTTCTGTCGTCATTCTCACATTACGATTGTACACAGAGCGCAAAGGTCACGTGATACGTTTATTCGGATCTAGACATCGCTAAGTCGTGAAAATGCAAGTGTTACACTAGAAGACGTTGGTTGATCGATCTCAGGCTGCATCACACTAGAGGAGGTTAAAACATGGCATTTGTTATAACCCTGCCTGCTGCACGGCACTGAGGCCATGAAACAAGGATTGGTCGGCTCGGATTCAGTACAGGTTAAACTGCGGCATGGTATCTCATTGGAACAGACCCATGATCCGTCTTAAGTCCGGAATAGCAAAAGCATTGACACACGCAAGCACACACGCACGCACACCCGCACGCACACTCGCACACTCGCACGTCGCTATATAAGAGCATTTTTCTTGAAGGCAACGTTGAACCCTATGTCACCTTACCTTATCAATAAACTGCTAGATTTACATACAATACAATACAGTAAAAGTACGGTTATAACGAACACGTTTATAACGCCGTGACGGATATAACGAACTATTTCTTGGTCCCGACCATTTGTTGTATATATGCTGTATATATGCTTATAACGAACTACGGTTATAACGAATGAAAATAGTGAGTTCTTCATAACCGTAGTTCACGGTGTTATACTTTGAGGTCAGGCACAGAGTATCAGAATGACTTGAGGATCTACCTATTTTCCCGCTTTCCTTTACACAGTTTTCCCTACATTCTAACACATATCTGTAGGCGGGAAAGAAATTAAATGAAAAATGGCACTTTAAATATCTGTTCTATTCTTCCCGAAGTTATTTGGAAATATTGCCATGTGATATCGTCGGAATGACGTCTCTGAAATAAACATATTTTAAAGACAAAAAAATGCTGTTAACTTATAGATGTAAAAACATTACAAAAAGGAGCCAGGAGACTTTCTTTATTTTCAGATACAGTAATCTAGACTTGCTAAATGGTATAGACTTGCATGGGCTGTATTGGATATATTTGTTTCAGGTCGTGCATGACAGACCAGTCGGACTTAGCTATCGACTTCTTATGAATATTGATATTTCATTTAGAATATTTATGAATCCGGGCTTTTCTTCATGCAATTTAAGGAATTCGGTATACGCACTATTTTAGCAATAGAAAACGGCACTTTAACCTATTTGTTATGGGGTATCTTTATTTTCAAGGATGGCTATTTTAAAATGTCAACTTCCCACCAAAGGCCAGTGCACTGAGTGGCGTGTTCTTACCCCTCCAGAGAGTAGCGCGGGAGAGGAAGTAACTGCTTTCAACTGTAGGCGACTGAAGTGCTTGGGCGAGGCTTGTGAGTGTCGGCGTGAAGTGACTATCACCAGATCAAAGGAGACGTCCCGTGAGTGAACTCGGCACACATTGAAACAATGAACAGGAACTTCCAATAGCAGTAATCGTTCGAAATGCAGGATGAGTTTGATTACTTACGTTCACGGTGGCATATCTGTATTCATATGGGCACACAGTTTTCTGAGACGCCACACGTCGCTGTGCAGAGTTGCATCCCTCATGTTTGCAAGAACCCTGTGGTCGTGGGTTCGAATTCCAGACTGTTCTCATTATGTTTTATTGGTTTTCAGAATAATATCGATGTGGTAAACACGTAAGTCCTTAACCACAACCGAGTACCTCCCACATATGTACGTTGCCACGTCATGAAAACGTATATGACGTCCCACTCACATTGAATGTTGAATTAATTGAAACCAAACGTCTAGCTGGGATATCGCTACCATGTACGTATAACGCCCCTATCTCTTCTGGGACAGGAGGCAACTGACAGTCAGACACACATTAACAGTATTTCAATATTACGACTACATTTTAGAGGGAACCTACAATTACCACGTCTGCGTACGTCTTTGACAGTTTACGTCTATGGATAACGGGGCGGTGGGATAAAAACATCAAACAACCAAGGGCACGGGGGGCCCAGTCATCTTAGGCGCCGCGATTCGCTGTTCAGAGTTGCGTCCCTTGGGCGCGCCAGAAACCTTTGACTGTTGGTTGGAATCCCGGTTCGCCCTGATTATGTTTCTAGGTTTGTCAGCAACATGACCGTGCTCATTGGTTTCATCGGAGTGATAAACGTCTGAGACCTGCATCAGTTCAATTCTTTCCTCCCACATCAAGCTGATACGCTGCTAATACCGTTTCGTGCACACAGCGTAAATTCCCTTATTTCATTCAAAGAGTTCATCCTCACACATCATATCCTTCCGCTAAACCGCCACACCTCTACACCTCTGCAACAACATACAGGCTATTTCATCACAGATGTCACGAATGTGGAACTACATCACATGACCAGTTCGCGTAACGGTTTATTGCCCAAACGAAACAAGTGCATGCGGCTTGGTAGCGCGTAGGAATATATCAAGCACTTGCTCCGAGTAGATGGGATGCTTGTGAGTGATTATTGTGCCTAAGAGAGGGAAATAGACTACTGAGAGACGTTGTTTGGTCAAGCTTGAGGAAGGACAGTGTCCAGAATGGATTTATCTATTACGCCTTGTGTGTTGTCATTGCTGCTCGTAGGAATTAGCTGTGAGTATTGGGAATTAGTGTGTGGTCCCTGTCGGAAGGGTTCGCTCTAACATGTCATCCATCCCACGATGCTGCAAGAATGTTCTGTTGCTTTTGAGAAAATCATTATTTATTGCATATAAAAATTATATTACCCATATTCCGATATTTGCACATGTGCGTTGTAGCAATTCTCAATGCTGATTGGTCAGTTGAGGCCATAACAACTCAATGCTCCATTGTTCACAATTAGTACGAAATGTTCATCCGTTGTTCATGATGTCACAAATTGATTACAGTTAACTACGGTTATAACGAACACAAAGGGACCACCCATTTTAGTTCGTAGCAACCGTAGTTCGTTATTAGCATATATGTATACAGTATATATACAACAAATGGCAGGAACTAAAAAATAAGTTCGTTATATCGGTCATTCGTTATAAGCGTATTCGTTATAGACGTAGTTAACCGTACATTAAGTCATCTGAACAATAGACTGCCTTCAGTCAAGTGGCTCTGTGGGTTGGAATTTCCTACTTGATTTTCTTCATATTCTCTCTAAAATGTCAATGCATAATAAATTATATTGAATAACATTCTCGAAACTCGGAATTACAGAAGATCCTCTCTTGTTAAATGAATGCAAAGACTAGGGATTATCACCATTCAATCACTCGGGACAGATATTCCGTTATTTACTGGTTATTCTCCAAATGTACGTCCATCCAGGAATGTCCTTGACAATGGAATGTTAGCAAGATTCCTTCTCTTCGTAAATACGACACGCTTCGATATAACTGAAAAACACTCACTCTCACTTGAACCAAACTTACCCAATCGCTATTATTGTTAGTGGTTATTCTAAAATGTCAGAATACAATGTGATGTGATGTGATGTGATGTGATGTGATGACGAGGAAGAGACAGATAAGCATCACAGTTGACCTAATTATTGTAAGAGTTGACATACAGTCAAACAGTCGAACTTTGATGTGTCTAACTTACGGTTGCATGGAAGCAAAAGCTTGGCTCCTGCATATTCCTTCTTTAATAATCAGCATCGGTTGTGTCGAGCCTCGGCTAACTCGAAGTTTTTACGTAGTTCCCTTCAACTTCGACACAACGGTGTTCGACTGTATTCAACCCGCGTCGGTCGGTCACCGATCGTTCATGCTGTCATGCTAAGAATAACCGACCTATACCTCAAGGTTGCTGCAATACCCGAGGAGTGACGCTCTGTAACTTGAACATTCCCCCTTCTCTTCACCCGTGGTATGTTAACATGAGGAATGTACACAGTGTCAGGTCCTCCAGCTGCACATTTAAATAATTACTCTTTACGAGGTCAACAAGGACACGGCCCCTGAGGTGGTCTGACTGTGACTGAGGTGGTCTGACTGTGACTGAAGTGGTCTGACTGTGACTGAGGTGGTCTGACTGTCTGACTGTGACTGAGGTGGTCTGACTGTGACCGAGGTGATCTGACTGTGACTGAGGGGGTCTGACTGTCTGACTGTGACTGAGGTGGTCTGACTGTGACCGAGGTCGTTTGACTGTGACTGAGGTGGCCTGACTGTGACTGAGGTGCTCTGACTGTGACCGAGGTCATCTGACTGTGACTGAGGTGGCCTGACTGTGACTGAGGTGCTCTGACTGTGACTGAGGTGGTATGTCTGTGACTGAGGTGGTCTGACTGTGACTGAGGTGGTCTTACTGTGACTGAGGTGGTACGTCTGGTCAGAAGGGATCGGGTCCGAGGATCCCTGTTTCCCCATATTGACCTCGTCAAGAGTAATCATTTATTTTATTACACTGAAATTCACTTTTAAGTTTCAAAAGGAATTATTCCGTTCTCCGTGTCTTTACATAACTTAGCTGCTAACCGTGAAATGTTCGTACAAGACGCCAGCTGGTTTTCTAATAGACGAGTCAATATACATCACGTGATAGGTCAATACTGATCATGTGACGAGCCAATAATCGAGATCAGTGTCAGTCACATGATTCGGGGTCCACATTGATATGTATTGTTTTGTCACGTGGTACTGATTATCCAATGGAATTGCAAGGTTCTTATGGGTACCAACGTAAAGGTTTGTCATATAACCCGGAACGAGGTCACTCTGGCGTGACTCCAGGAGCTGAACTGACCCATGAGTTATGTGGAAACAATTGGCGATGATTTGTTAATGCTAAACAAGCCTATGTCAGAACACTGACCAGATGCCATGTGCAGTTTTCAACATGAAGAAAAGTCAGTTAGTGACCCCACCATATTGATGTTGGGTGATTCATCGTATCCCAACTGCGTAGGTCGATGCTCAGGATTTCAGTCTCTTGATTACGTGGTCCAGACATTAATTACAGACAACCGTCATAGAGCTGGAATGTTGATGAGTGTGGCGTCTAACAACAAACAAACAAACATGACCTCGGTTGAATGACTGAGACATTATGGTTTGCGGTTATAGTGTGAGTGAGTAGGGTTTAACACCACTTTTAACAGTTTTCAAGTTATATCACGGCGTGTCAGAGGAAAGCCCGAAGTGATGCATGTCTCAGACGTTTACCACTTCGGTGAAACTCACGAGCACGGGTATGGTGCTGACAAACCTAGAAACATAATCGGGGCGAACCGGGACTCGAACCCACAATCATAGATTTCTGGCGCGCCCAAGGAATGCAACTCTGCACAGCGAATCGCGGCGCCTCAGACGACTGGGCCACACCCCCTCCCACGCGTGTTATAAGTGAGTGTCACGGACCGTTAGTGAAGAGTTCAGTTTGGACGGTGATCAGAGTCTTTGTGAACCTAATATGAAGTATATGCACCGCTTGCCAATCAAGCATTATTTAATGAATAGATTCGCCTATTTATTCAGGAGAATACTTCTTGAGCTTCTTGTCTATTCAATTGCTAGTAAAATAGGCTTTAGACTAACAATGTGATTTATTTTTTTTTATTAATAACGCAAATGAGCTTGCTTGCTATGTTGGTATTAACCAGTTCTCTTTACAATAGTAATTACTTGCTCCAGGTGTTATCATGTATTTTATGAGACATAAATGTGCATTTTAACTACAGAAAGCTTATAACAACGAAACAGAAAAAACAAATCTTTTGAACAAAACAGCAGAGCATCTTCAAACAACTCATGACTATTTAATCAGATTACAGAGAAACATTTCTTCAAATCCATCAACTCTGTGATCGAACTAGAGGCTGTTTTTTGCGAACATCTGGTGTCTGCACTGAATTTCAGTGATCCATTCATATAACTGTCTCACGATAACAGACAGTGGAATTTGTTTTAGGGCATATTCGGGGCTGGTTTTCTTTGGTGTTGATGTTAAATATTCCACAACTGACAAGGCGAACATCCCGTCAAGATGAACTGGTGTTTGTATTACATGGGTATCGGGTGACCACATACTTCCTGAAGATGTGACACCTGCAACTGGCGTTTGTATTACATGTGTATCCGGTGACCACGTACTTCCTGAAGATGTGACACTTGCAACTGGTGTTTGTATTATATTGGTATCGGGTGACCATATACTTCCTGAAGATGTGACACCTGCAACTGGTGCTTGTATTACATGTGTATCGGGTGACCACACACTTCCTGAAGATGTGACACCTGCAACTGGTGTTTGTATTACCGTGTATCGGGTGACCACATACTTCCTGAAGATGTGACACCTGCAACTGGTGTTTGTATTACACGTGTATCCGGTGACCACATACTTCCTGAAGATGTGACACTTGCAACTGGTGTTTGTATTATATTGGTATCGGGTGACCATATACTTCCTGAAGATGTGACACCTGCAACTGGTGCTTGTATTACATGTGTATCGGGTGACCACACACTTCCTGAAGATGTGACACCTGCAACTGGTGTTTGTATTACCCGTGTATCGGGTGACCACATACTTCCTGAAGATGTGACACCTGCAACTGGTGTTTGTATTACACGTGTATCGGGTGACCACACACTTCCTGAAGATGTGACACCTGCAACTGGTGTTTGTATTACACGTGTATCGGGTGACCACATACTTCCTGAAGATGTGACACCTGCAACTGATGTTTGTATTACCCGTGTATCGGGTGACTACATACTTCCTGAAGATGTGACACCTGCAACTTGTGTTTGTATTACATGTGTATCGGGTGACCACATACTTCCTGAAGATGTGACACCTGCAACTGGTGTTTGTTTTACACGTGTATCGTGTGACCACATACTTCCAGAAGATGTGACACCTGCAACTGGTGTTTGTATTACCCGTGTATCGGGTGACCACATATTTTCCTGAAGATGTGACACCTGCAACTTGTGTTTGTATTACATGTGTATCAGGTGACCACATACTTCCTGAAGATGTGACACCTGCAACTGGTGTTTGTTTTACACGTGTATCGGGTGACCACATACTTCCTGAAGATGTGGCACCTGCAAGCAACTGGTGTTTGTATTACACGTGTATCGGGTGACGACATACTTCCTGAAGATGTGACACTTGCATCTGGTGTTTGTATTACACGTGTATCGGGTGACCACATACTTCCTGAAGATGTGACACTTGCAACTGGTGTTTGTATTATATTGGTATCGGGTGACCACATACTTCCTGAAGATGTGACACCTGCAACTTGTGTTTGTATTACATGTGTATCGGGTGACCAGATACTTCCTGAAGATGTGACACCTGCAACTGGTGTTTGTATTACATGTGTATCGGGTGACCACAAACTTCCTGAAGATGTGACACCCGCAACTGTTGTTTGTATTACATGTGTATCGGGTGACCATATACTTCCTGAAGATGTGACACTTGCAACTGGTGTTTGTATTACACGTGTATCGGGTGACCACATACTTCCTGAAGATGTGACACTTGCATCTGGTGTTTGTATTACATGGGTATGAGGTGACCACATACTTCCTGAAGATGTGACACCTGCAACTGGTGTTTGTATTACACGTGTATCGGGTGACGACATACTTCCTGAAGATGTGACACTTGCATCTGGTGTTTGTATTACATGTGTATCGGGTGACCACATACTTCCTGAAGATGTGACACTTGGAACTGGTGTTTGTATTATATTGGTATCGGGTGACCACATACTTCCTGAAGATGTGACACCTGCAACTGGTGTTTGTATTACACGTGTATGAGGTGACCACATACTTCCTAAAGATGTGACACCTGCAACTGGTGTTTGTATTACACGTGTATCGGGTGACCACATACTTCCTGAAGATGTGACACTTGCAACTGGTGTTTGTATTATATTGGTATCGGGTGACCACATACTTCCTGAAGATGTGACACCTGCAACTTGTGTTTGTATTACATGTGTATCAGGTGACCACATACTTCCTGAAGATGTGACACCTGCAACTGGTGTTTGTTTTACAGGTGTATCGGGTGACCACATACTTCCTGAAGATGTGACACCTGCAACTGGTGTTTGTATTACACGTGTATCGGGTGACCACATACTTCCTGAAGATGTGACACTTGCAACTGGTGTTTGTATTACACGTGTATCGGGTGACCACATACTTCCTGAAGATGTGACACTTGCAACTGGTGTTTGTGTTATATTGGTATCGGGTGACCACATAGTTCCTGAAGATGTGACACCTGCAACTGGTGTTTGTATTACATGTGTATCGGGTGACGACATACTTCCTGAAGATGTGACACCTGCAACTGGTGTTTGTTTTACCCGTGTATCGGGTGACCACATACTTCCTGAAGATGTGACACTTGCAACTGGTGTTTGTATAACACGTGTATCGGGTGACCACATACTTCCTGAAGATGTGACACTTGCAACTGGTGTTTGTATTACACGTGTATCGGGTGACCACATACTTCCTGAAGATGTGACACCTGCAACTGGTGTTTGTATAACATGTGTATCGGGTGACCACATACTTCCTGAAGATGTGACACCTGCAACTGGTGTTTGTATAACATGTGTATCAGGTGACCACATACTTCCTGAAGATGTGACACTTGCAACTGGTGTTTGTATTACATGTGTATCGGGTGACCACAAACTTCCTGAAGATGTGACACCCGGAAATGTTGTTTGTATTACATGTGTATCGGGTGACCAGATACTTCCTGAAGATGTGACACCTGCAACTGGTGTTTGTATTACACGTGTATCGGGTGACCATATACTTCCTGAAGATGTGACACTTGCATCTGGTGTTTGTATTACATGTGTATCGGGTGACCACATACTTCCTGAAGATGTGGCACCTGCAAGCAACTGGTGTTTGTATTACACGTGTATCGGGTGACGACATACTTCCTGAAGATGTGACACTTGCAACTGGTGTTTGTATTACATGTGTATCGGGTGACCACATACTTCCTGAAGATGTGACACCTGCAACTGGTGTTTGTATTATATTGGTATCGGGTGACCACATACTTCCTGAAGATGTGACACCTGCAACTGGTGTCTGTGTTATATTGGTATCGGGTGACCACATACTTCCTGAAGATGTGACATTTGCAACTGGTGTTTGTATTACCCGTGTATCGGGTGACCACATACTTCCTGAAGATGTGACACCTGCAACTGGTGTTTGTATTACACGTGTATCGGGTGACCACATACTTCCTGAAGATGTGACACTTGCAACTGGTGTTTGTATTGTATTGGTATCGGATGACCACATACTTCCTGAAGATGTGACACTTGCAACTGGTGTTTGTATTACATGGGTATCGGGTGACCACATACTTCCTGAAGATGTGACACTTGGAACTGGTGTTTGTATTATATTGGTATCGGGTGACCACATACTTCCTGAAGATGTGACACCTGCAACTGGTGTCTGTGTTATATTGGTATCGGGTGACCACATACTTCCTGAAGATGTGACACTTGCAACTGGTGTTTGTATTACCCGTGTATCGGGTGACCACATACTTCCTGAAGATGTGACACCTGCAACTGGTGTTTGTATTACACGTGTATCGGGTGACCACATACTTCCTGAAGATGTGACACTTGCAACTGGTGTTTGTATTATATTGGTATCGGATGACCACATACTTCCTGAAGATGTGACACTTGCAACTGGTGTTTGTATTACATGGGTATCGGGTGACCACATACTTCCTGAAGATGTGACACTTGGAACTGGTGTTTGTATTATATTGGTATCGGGTGACCACATACTTCCTGAAGATGTGACACCTGCAACTGGTGTTTGTATTATATTGGTATCGGGTGACCACATACTTCCTGAAGATGTGACACCTGCAACTGGTGTTTGTATAACACGTGTATCGGGTGACCACATACTTCCTGAAGATGTGACACCTGCAACTGATGTTTGTATTACACGTGTATCGGGTGACCACATACTTCCTGAAGATGTGACACCCGCAACTGATGTTTGTATTACACGTGTATCGGGTGACCACATACTTCCTGAAGATGTGACACCTGCAACTGGTGTTTGTATTACACGTGTATCGGGTGACCACATACTTCCTGAAGATGTGACACCTGCTACTGGTGCTTGTATTACACGTGTATCGGGTGACCACATACTTCCTGAAGATGTGACACCTGCAACTGGTGTTTGTATTACACGTCTGTCCATGCAGATTACAGGGCCAAGTTAGAAATGTCGTATACCTGACTACTCTATCCTTCATACCTTATTGCATGTTTGTTTTCTATTGTTTTTTGCAGATGCCCAAGAAATTAAGGTTTACCCTTCATATAAGAGTATAAGGCGTGAAACAAGCCAAAACGGATTATTAATTACCTGCGAAGTCGATGGGTTAGCAGATGATCAAAATGCAAACTTGGAGTGGCTGGACCCAGCTGACAACGTCATTGGACCTTACAATAGTGCAATAAAGTCAAGGTAGGTTAACCGTTCACAACCTTTGCCTCTCACAGTCTCCTCTCACTTTCACATTCACCGTTTCATTGCCTTTCTCAACGATCTCTGGTCATCAGATGTGATATATATTCCCAGTTAACCCGTGTGGTTTGTCCAGTTAGCATGTGTCATATCTCAAGTTTATATGCCTCCCTTTTTTGTTGCAGGATCTACTCCCGGCAGATGGGCACCAGTAACCAGAACCTGAGGTTTGACACACTGAAGGATGGAGATGAGGGGGTGTATACATGTCGAGGCACGATCGGCGGCAACACCATAACTAATGATATACGGCTGGAACTCTACGGTAAATAGTTGCCGTGTGGTGCAAGCTTGGGAGGACCTGTTTTATTCAGGGAAATCATTGCCAAACTTGCACGGCTTGTTACGTGAGATCGCCGGGCAAACTTAACTATATGTTTCAGTTGTGTGCTGAGGGCCTTTACATAATTGTCGCCATATATTCGTAAAAGGTTTGGCTTTAAAAATGTGTAAACATAGCGAGTAATGACCAACAATTGAAGGCAGTGTATTGCCTACTCCTTGTGGTATTAGTGACGCCTTACGAGATGGACACGCTCTAATCCTGGTTGAAATATGCGTCTGTTGTTCAAAGCGTAGAAAAGTTTCGCCTGTTTTTCTCAGATGCCGCAACATGCTGTGCATTGTTGCTTCCCCTAGGCGTGCCAGGATCCGGTGATTGGGGGTTCAGGTACTTTCACGTCGTGATGATATCAGTCTGGTTGAAGCTGCCCAGCCTTCTAGTTAAACAAAACTAAATATGTTCCCATAGACTTCCATAGTAATGTTATATTTTGTTTAAGAATAGCTAAGCATTCAACAGTTATTACCTGTACCTGCGTGCAAAAAAGCAGCAATAAAAAACAAGTGAAATGACCAACTTAGCCAACTCCTTTTCCGAGTTCAGGAAGTTAAACACACTACCTCCATTTCCAGATCAGCATGTTAAAAAGAACGCACTAGCTATAGAAAAATATGATCAGTTTTGATTACCGGATGGATGTAAATTTAAAAAGAAAAACCTAACGCAAAATCGTCCAATCACTCATTGAAAGACTGATTCTTATTTGGTGTAGTAGAACCTCTGAGATGCAATTCACTGTGCAGAGTTGCGTCCCTTTGTCATGCCTGACACCTGGGATTGGGTTCGAATCCCGATATGCACTGGTTGCATTCTAGGTTCCTTATGTTCCCGTGCTCTTGGACTTCACCAAAGTGGTAAACGACTAGTACCTGTATACCTTAGGGAACTGTTAAATGTAGCGTTAACCACAACGCACTCACTCACTCACTTGCTCAATATCTGTCACAATGATTGTATCAATTTACTGCTGCTTACAGACGGAATCAAGGTGTTGTCCAACCACACCCAGCAACCTAACATCTACACCGACGCTGTGATTGCCTGTGCCGTCACAGCCAACCCCTCACCTACTGTGCAGTGGACGTTTGGCAACGGCACAAAGGTCAGAGGTCAGTACACAACGTGATCATAAGGCTTCACTATTGTAGGTCTGTGTAATTCCTCGGGGGAAGATATGCCTTACTGGCACAACATGATCGTCACTCTTCAATTACTGTAAGATTGTATATTATTGTACTGTATAAATAATTGGTAATAGGTAATTGACTGTACAATATAGATGTGGTGACTGACATTACGAGGTAGATTGGTTGTATAGCATGTAGACTGGTTGTACAGTTTGTATTTCGTGATTGGTTGTTCAATATAGACGTGGTGATTGACTGTACGAGGTAGATTGGTTGTATAACAGGTAGATAAGTTGTACACTTTGTATTTGGTGATTGGTTGTATAATATAGATGTGGTGATTGACTGTACAAGATAGATGTTGTGATTGACTTTCCGGGGTAGCTGGGTTGTACACCATGTACATTGGTTGTATTTGGTGATTGACTGTACAATATAGATGTCATGATTGACTGTACGAGGTAGATTGGTTGTACACGTTGAAGACTGACTTACAGTTTCTATTTGGTGATTGGTTGTTCAATATAGAAGTGATGATTGACTGTACGAGGTAGAATGGTTGTATAACTGGTAGATAAGTTGTACACTTTGTATTCGGTTGTATATTATAGATGTGGTGATTGACTGTACAACATAGATGTCGTGATTGACTGTACGAGGTAGATTGGTTGTACACCATGAAGAGTGACTTACAGTTTCTATTTGGTGATTGGTTGTTCAATATAGACGTGGTGATTGACTGTACGAGGTAGATTGGTTGTATAACAGGTAGATTAGTTGTACACTTTGTATTTTTGATTTGTTGCAGAATATAGATGTCGTGATTGACTGTACAATATAGATGTCGTGATTGACTCTACCGGGTAGATTGGTTGTATACCATGTAGATTAGTTGTACACTTTGTATTTGATGAATGACTGTACAAATGCAATATAGATGTCGTGATTGATTGTACGGGGTAGCTGGGTTGTACATCATGTACATTGGTTGTATTTGGTGATTGACTGTACAATACAGATGTCGTGATTGACTTCACGAGGTAGATTGGTTGTATACCATGTAGGCTGGCTCTACAGTTTGTATTTGATGATTGGTTATACAATATAGATGTGGTATTTCACTGTACAATATAGATGTGGTAATTGACTGTACAATATAGATGTGGTAATTGACTGTACAATATAGATTTGGTAATTGACTGTACAATAGAGATGTGGTAATTGACTGTACACCATAGATGTGGTAACTGACTGTACAATATAGATGTGGTAATTGACTGTACACTATAGATGTGGTAACTGACTGTACAGTATAAATGTGGTAACTGACTGTACAATATAGATGTGGTAATTGACTGTACACTATAGATTTGGTAATTGATTGTACAACATAGAAGTGGTAATTGACTGTACACTATAGATGTGGTAATTGACTGTACACTATATATGTGGTAATTGACTGTACACTATAGATTTGGTAACTGACTGTACAATATAGATGTGGTAACTGACTGTACAATATAGATGTGGTAATTGACTGTACAACATAGATGTGGTAATTGACTGTACACCATTGATGTGGTAACTGACTGTACACCATAGATGTGGTAACGGACTGTACAATATAGATGTGGTAACTGACTGTACAATATAGATGTGGTAACTGACTGTACACTATATATGTGGTAACTGACTGTACAATATAGATGTGGTAACTGACTGTACACTATAGATGTGGTAATTGACTCTACACTATAGATGTGGTAATTGACTGTACAATATAGATGTGGTAACTGACTTTACAATATAGATTTGGTGATTGATTGTACAATATAGAAGTGGTAATTGACTGTACACTATAGATGTGGTAATTGACTGTGCACCATAGATGTGGTTATTGACTGTACACTATAGATTTGGCAATTGACTGCACAATATAGATGTGGTAACTGACTGTTCACTATAGATTTGGTTATTGACTGTACACTATAGATGTGGTAATTGACTGTACACTATAGATGTGGTAACTGACTGTACAATATAGTTTTGGTAATTGACTGTACAATATAGATTTGGTAATTGATTGTACAATATATAAGTGTTAATTCACTGTACACTATAGATGTGGTAATTGACTGTACACTATATATGTGGTAATTGACTGTACACTTTAGATTTGGTAATTGACTGTACAATATAGATATGGTAACTGACTGTACACTATAGATGTGGTAATTGACTGTGCACTATGGATGTGGTAATTGACTGTACACTATAGATGTGGTAATTGACTGTACACTATAGATGTGGTAATTGACTGTACACTATAGTTGTGGTAACTGACTGTACAATATAGATGTGGTAATTGACTGTACAATATAGATATGGTAATTGACTGTACACTATAGATGTGGTAACTGACTGTACAATATGGATGTGGTAATTGACTGTACACTATAGATGTGGTAATTGACTGTACACTATAGATGTGGTAATTGCCTTTACAATATAGATGTGGTAATTGACTGTACACTATAGATTTGGTAATTGACTGTACACTATAGATGTGGTAATTGACTGTACACTATATATGTGGTAATTGACTGTACAATAGAGATTTGGTAATTGACTGTACAGTATAAATGTGGTAACTGACTGTACAATATAGATGCGGTAATTGACTGTACACTATAGATTTGGTAATTGATTGTACAACATAGAAGTGGTAATTGACTGTACACTATAGATGTGGTAATTGACTGTACACTATATATGTGGTAATTGACTGTACACTATAGATTTGGTAACTGACTGTACAATATAGATGTGGTAACTGACTGTACAATATAGATGTGGTAATTGACTGTACAATATAGATGTGGTAATTGACTGTACAACATAGATGTGGTAATTGACTGTACACCATTGATGTGGTAACTGACTGTACACCATAGATGTGGTAACGGACTGTACAATATATATGTGGTAACTGACTGTACAATATAGATGTGGTAACTGACTGTACACTATAGATGTGGTAACTGACTGTACAATATAGATGTGGTAACTGACTGTACACTATAGATGTGGTAATTGACTCTACACTATAGATGTGGTAATTGACTGTACAATATAGATGTGGTAACTGACTTTACAATATAGATTTGGTGATTGATTGTACAATATAGAAGTGGTAATTGATTGTACACTATAGATGTGGTAATTGACTGTGCACTATAGATGTGGTAATTGACTGTACACTATAGATTTGGCAATTGACTGTACAATATAGATGTGGTAACTGACTGTTCACTATAGATGTGGTAATTGACTGTACACTATAGATGTGGTAATTGACTGTACACTATAGATGTGGTAACTGACTGTACAATATAGTTTTGGTAATTGACTGTACAATATAGATTTGGTAATTGATTGTACAATATATAAGTGTTAATTCACTGTACACTATAGATGTGGTAATTGACTGTACACTATATATGTGGTAATTGACTGTACACTTTAGATTTGGTAATTGACTGTACAATATAGATATGGTAACTGACTGTACACTATAGATGTGGTAATTGACTGTGCACTATAGATGTGGTAATTGACTGTACACTATAGATGTGGTAATTGACTGTACACTATAGATGTGGTAATTGACTGTACACTATAGTTGTGGTAACTGACTGTACAATATAGATGTGGTAATTGACTGTACAATATAGATATGGTAATTGACTGTACACTATAGATGTGGTAACTGACTGTACAATATGGATGTGGTAATTGACTGTACACTATAGATGTGGTAATTGACTGTACACTATAGATGTGGTAATTGACTTTACAATATAGATGTGGTAATTGACTGTACACTATAGATTTGGTAATTGACTGTACAATATAGATTTGGTAATTGACTGTACAATAGAGATGTGGTAATTGACTGTACAATAGAGATTTGGTAATTGACTGTACACTATAGATGTGGTAATTGACTGTACACTATAAATGTGGTAATTGACTGTACAATAGAGATGTGGTAATTGACTGTACAATAGAGATTTGGTAATTGACTGTACAATATAGAAGTGGTAATTGACTGTACACTATAGATGTGGTAATTGACTGTACACTATAGATATGGTAACTGACTGCACAATAAAGATGAGGTAATTGACTGTACAATATAGATGTGGTAACTGACTGTACAATATAGATGTGGTAATTGACTGTACAATATAGATGTGGTAATTGCTTGACACTATGGATGTGGTAATTGACTGTACACTATAGATGTGGTCTTTCACTGTACAATATAGATGTCGTGAATGACTGCACGAGGTAGAATGGTTGTACAGTTTCTATTTGGTGATTGGTTGTTCAATATAGACTTGGTAATAAACTGTACGAGGTAGATTGGTTATACATTGTATACTTGGTGATTGGCTGCAGGTGAGCGCTATCGTCTACTGCCACAGGGCCTGGAGATCAAGAACATCACAATGGCTGACAATGGAGTGTACATCTGCTCAATCATTCTCATTGAGACTGGAGACCTTTTGCCATTCCACATCAATGTCACAGTGACAGGTAGGTGACAGGTCAAACATACACAAGTGTGTAAAGCAACACACACAACTGCACACAGCATCACATAATAATATGCAAAGCAACACACACAATTGGGTAAATGGTCACACAATAATATGCAAAGCAACACAATTGCACAAAGTGTCACACCATAATGTGTAAAGCAACACACACAATTGCGTAAAGAGTCACACAATAATATGCAAAGCAACACATAATTGCACAAAGCGTCATACAATAATATGCAAAGCAACACAATTGCACAAAGCGTCACACGATAATATGCAAAGCAACACACACAATGGCGTAAAGGGTCACACAATAATATGCAAAGCAACACACAATTGCGTAAATGGTCACACAATAATATGCAAAGCAACACAATTGCACAAATCGTCATACAATAATATGCAAAGCAACAAAATTGCACAAAGCGTCACACAATAATATGCAAAGCAACACAATTGCACAAAGCATCACACAATAATATGCAAAGCAACACAATTGCACAAAGCGTCACACAATAATATGCAAAGCAACACACAATTGCACAAAGCGTCACACAATAATATGCAAAGCAACACAATTGCATAAAGCGTCACACAATAACATGCAATGCAACACACACAATTGCGTAAAGTGTCACACAATAATATGCAGAAACACAATGGCGTAAAGCTTCACACAATAATATGCAAAGCAACACACACAATGGCATAAAGCGTCACACAATAATATGCAAAGCGACACAATTGCACAAACCGTCACACAATAATATGCAAAGCAACACACAATTGCACAAAGCATCACACAATAATATGCAAAGCAACACAATTGCATAAAGCGTCACACAATAACATGCAATGCAACACACACAATTGCGTAAAGTGTCACACAATAATATGCAGAAACACAATGGCGTAAAGCTTCACACAATAATATGCAAAGCAACACACACAATGGCATAAAGCGTCACACAATAATATGCAAAGCGACACAATTGCACAAACCGTCACACAATAATATGCAAAGCAACACACAATTGCACAAAGCGTCACACAATAATATGCAAAGCAACACAATTGCACAAATCGTCATACAATAATATGCAAAGCAACACACACAATGGCTTAAAGTGCCACACAATAATATGCAAAGCAACACAATTGCACAAAGCGTCACACAATGATATGCAAAGCAACACAATTGCGTAAAGCGTCACACAATAATATGCAAAGCAACACAATTGCACAAAGCATCACACAATAATATGCAAAGCAACACAATTGCACAAAGCGTCACACACTAATATGCAAAGCAACACACACAATGGCGTAAAGCGTCACACAATAATATGCAAAGCAACACAATTGCGTAAAGCATCACACAATAATATGCAAAGCAACACAATAGCGTAAAGCGTCACACAATAATATGCAAAGCAACACATAATTTCACAAAGCGTCACACAATAATATGCAAAGCAACACAATTGCACAAAGCGTCACACAATAATATGCAAAGCAACACAATTGCGTAAAGCGTCACATAATAATATGCAAAGCAACACACACAATGGCGTAAAGCGTCACACAATAATATGCAAAGCAACACAATGGCGTAAAGCGTCACACAATAATATGCAAAGCAACACAATTGCACAAAGCGTCACACAATAATATGCAAAGCAACACAATTGCGTAAAGCATCACACAATAATATGCAAAGCAACACACACAATGGCGTAAAGCGTCACACAATAATATGCAAAGCAACACAATTGCGTAAAGCGTCACACAATAATATGCAAAGCAACACAATTGCACAAAGCGTCACACAATAATATGCAAAGCAACACAATTGCGTAAAGCATCACACAATAATATGCAAAGCAACACAATGGTGTAAAGCGTCACACAATAATATGCAAAGCAACACATAATTTCACAAAGCGTCACACAATAATATGCAAAGCAACACAATTGCACAAAGCGTCACACAATAATATGCAAAGCAACACAATTGCACAAAGCATCACACAATAATATGCAAAGCAACACAATTGCACAAAGCATCACACAATAATATGCAAAGCAACACAATTGCGTAAAGCGTCACACAATAATATGCAAAGCGACACAATTGCACAAAGCGTCACACAATAATATGCAAAGCAACACATAATTTCACAAAGCGTCACACAATAATATCAAAGCAACACACACAATGGCTTAAAGCGTCACACAGTAATATGCAAAGCAACACAATTGCACAAAGCGTCACACAATGATATGCAAAGCAACACAATTGCGTAAAGCGTCACACAATAATATGCAAAGCAACACAATTGCACAAAGCGTCACACAATAATATGTAAAGCTAACACTTTCTACCCATGTATCATATGCCAGTCTTTGACGAACGTGATATTCACACAAAGCTTCGAAAACAGAGGTATTTCTTCATGTTGCTGAGTGGACAGCCGCTGTTATCAGGAGTGAGTGAGTGAATGAGTTGGGTTTAAACAGTATTCCAGTTGCATCACGGCGTGTCAGCTTTCTGTGGGAGGAAAGCCCGAAGTGGTGGAGGCCTCAGACGTTTACCACTTCGGTGAAACCAACGAGCACGGGTATGGTGCTGACAAACCTATAAACATAATTGGGGCGAACCGGGATTCGAACCCACAATCATAGGTTTCTGGCGTGTCAAGGGACGCAACTCTGCACAGCGAATCTGGGCGCCTTAGACGATTGAGCCACCCGTGCCCCACTGTTATCAGGAAATGGGTGATGACAGATACGATTAATAATACTTTAAGAAATATTTTCTGATTATGTAAACAACGAAAATATAAAAGAAATAGGTGAGTGAGTGAGAAATTTCTGAAATCTAATATTTTCCGAAATAGTAAAGATGATTTACAAGCAGATACTTGATAAATGTTGGGTTGAACCACCACACAAGAGTCTCTGGGAACTGGCCATGGGTGTCTCAACATGGTGGTGAAAGAATTAAAGGATGGTGACATCTGCTTCATAAAAATGTGCTTGAAAGTCTCAGTCACACAGCAAGGCGACCGCGATGCAACCTCCTGGCAATCAAAATATTTGACAATCGCAATGCAATTTCAAGGGTCTCTGAAAGGTTTCACTGAGGTCGCCACAAAGTTTCAGATCGGTCGCTAAACCCATTCGGTCGCAACCAGTCTTTTGAACATGCACAAAAGACTAGCCGCGACCGATTTGGTCGCTCGGATATTTCATGGTCTCCAAGAGCTCCCCAAGTGGTGTTATTCTAATCGAAGATTGGTTTCCACTGTGTGGCGATCGGTTTCATCTACCCAAAAATGTTGTCTCTTTGCAACCCAATGGCGACCTATCGGTGATTGATCAGTGATGAGGCGGTGATCGACCGGCGCTTCATCGATGACTGGTTGTCGATCGGTTGCATGGTTTCCAAGCGTGCGTCAATCATTCATTGTCGGGTTTGCAACATGTCACCGTCTGGACAGAGACCTGTCTGTGCATTCCAGCATCATGTTATCATAAGTACTCAGAGAGTTCACATCAGTTATTTCCATTCATCACTATGGTCCGTAAAGGCAGGAACACAAAAGAGCAGAAATTGTAGAAGATACAATAGAGACAACTGATGTGGTGCACAGGTCTCCTACAATTGAGCCAACAATCAATATATCAACAAGAGAAGAGGCGGATACCTGATGAGGAGGAAGAGCCAGAGATGTCCGATGTTGACAGGCTCCATTCTGAGCTAGCCCATGAAATCAGCACGACTTCCTCTCTCCAACTCTGCCATCAGATTATCATGGTCTTACGGCCTTCTCGCCGTCCAAGATATCAGCCAATACTGATTTCGCCTTGTCCTTCTCATTCTTCTGTACATCATCATGGCAGCAACTGCAGCATTTTGATTTGTTCTTTGCAGACGGAACAACTGCAACTGTTCTGCTGTTAACATATGGAAAACTTGCAAAGCAATGTTTTGATTCAGAAATACACCCCTTTTATACGCATTATGTTTTGATCGGTGATCGATTGACAACTGGGGCAGTCGGGTAGCCTTGTGGATAAAGCGTTCGCTCGTCACGCTGAAGACCCGGGTTCGATTCCCGACATGGGTACAATGCGTGAAGCCCATTTCTGGTGTCCCCCGCCGTGATATTGCTGGACTATTGCTAAATGCGGCGTAAAACCAAACTCACTCACTCGGTCGACAACTAGTCATCGACCAGTCCCCGTTCAGTTGCAACAAGTCACCGAAGATACCGTTACCGATCGGTCTCAACCGGTTGCAAACTTTTCGCCGTATATGCGGTGAACAGTTGCCGATCAATCACTGACCAGTTGCTGATCGATCGGCGATCATACGCTTAATCCAAATATGGGCAGAAGCAGTTGCATCAGTCTCAGCGATCGCCAGCCGGTCGCAAAGGAAATAAGTGGCCAAGAGGTTGCATCGCGGTCACATTGTCTGTGTGTCTAGCTCCAACTAGAAAGAGTTCAAGGGGAGATAACTCTGATCTGACCTGGTGGAGATTACCCCACATGGAATGGTTTCGGCTATGGGATAGAGGGGAGGGGGAATTAGCAAGATGCATCAGGATAAGCATGTACAATATAATAAATATTCTGATTTATGACATTTCCGGTGTTTTGATAAAATACTGGGCATGCTGAAAAAATATTGTTGAGCTGTTTTAATGGTCAATCTCTCGTAGTTCAAAGTGGTGTCGAACCCAACTCACTCTTAAAGGATTCCCATTAGCCTTTCCTTAGCCTGAATTCTACATTTCAGTTCCACCTTCCCTGAAGGGCCCCCCAACTAGGAGTACGGCCATTGTCGGCAAGCGGTTCGAGATGACGTGCGTGGCAGATGGTACTCCACGACCATCATTTACCTTCAAGAAGGTGAGACCCTGTTCCTCCCCTTGGGGACTTCGGAGAGATCGGTCGCCAGTACCTCGTGTTTATCTATCTGGGGGACTCCGGAGAGATAGGTCGCCAGTACCTCGTGTTTATTTATCTGGGGGGACTCCGGAGAGATAGGTCGCCAGTACCTCGTGTTTATCCATCTGGGGGACTCCGGAGAGATGGGTCGCCAGTACCTCGTGTTTATCTATCTGGGGGACTCCGGAGAGATAGGTCGCTAGTACCTCGTGTTTATTTATCTGGGAGACTCCGGAGAGATGGGTCGCCAGTACCTCGTGATTATCTATCTGGGGGACTCCGGAGAGATAGGTCGCCAGTACCTCGTGTTTATCTATCTGGGGGACTCCGGAGAGATAGGTCGCCAGTACCTCGTGTTTATCTATTTGGGGGGATTCCGGAGAGACAGGTCGCCAGTACCTCGTGTTTATCTATCTCTGGAGACTCCGGAGGGATAGGCCACAAGTACCTTGAGTTTATCTATCTGGGGAACTCCGGAGAGATAGGTCGCCAGTACCTCGTGTTTATCTATCTGGGGGACTCCGGAGAGATGGGTCGCCGGTACCTCATGTTTATCTATCTGGGGGACTCCGGAGAGATAGGTCGCCAGTACCTCGTGTTTATCTATCTCTGGAGACTCCGGAGGGACAGGCCACAAGTACCTTGAGTTTATCTATCTGGGGGGACTTCGGAGAGATAGGTCGCCAGTAACTCGTGTTTATCTATCTGTGGGACTCCGGAGAGATAGGTCGCCAGTACCTCGTGTTTATTTATCTGGGGGGACTCCGGAGAGATAGGTCGCCAGTACCTCGTGTTTATCTATTTGGGGGGATTCCGGAGAGATAGGTCGCCAGTACCTCGTGTTTATCTATCTCTGGAGACTCCGGAGGGATAGGCCACAAGTATCTTGTGTTTATCTATCCGTTGGGTCTCTGGAGAGATAGGTCGCAGTACGTGTTTATCTTTCTGGGGGGACTCCGGAGAGATAGGTCGCCAGTACCTCGTGTTTATTTATCTGGGGGGCTCCAGAGGTATAGGTCGCTAATACCTCGTGTTTGTCTATCTGGGGGGACTCCGGAGAGATAGGTCGCCAGTACCTCGTGTTTATCTATCTGTGGAGGCTCCGGAGGGATAGGTCACCAGTCGCCAGAGGGTCCTCAATACTGCCACCTATATTAGGACCCAATAGTCGCAATGCTGCTGTCTGCCCCTGATATCAAACCTGCCTCCTGTATTAGGACCCAGTACTCCCAATGCTGCAACTTGTCTCTGATTTCAACCCTGCCTCTTGTATTGGGACCTAATTATTCCATTGCTGCAATCTGTCTCTGACCTCGGCCCTGCCTCCTGTATTAGAACCTCGTACTCCCAGTGCTGCAATCTGTCTCTGACCTCGGCCCTGCCTCCTGTATTAGGACCCAATACTCCAAATGTTGCAATCTGTCTCTGACATCAAACCTGCCTCCTGTATTAGGACCAAATACTCCTAATCTTGCTATCTGTCTCTGGCCTCAATCCTGCCTCCTATATTAGGACACAATGATTCTAATCTTGCTATATGTCTCTGACCTCAGCCCTTCCTCCTGTATTAGGACCCAATACTCCTAATCTTGCTATCTGTCTCTGACATCAAAGCTGCCTCCTGTATTAGGACCCAATACTCCCAATGTAGCAATCTGTCTCTGATCTCAGCCCTTCCTCTTGTATTAGGACCAAATACTCCCGATGTTGCTATCTGTCTCTGACATCAGCCTTGCCTCCTGTATTAGGACACAATACTCCTAATCTTGCAATCTGTCTCTGACCTCAGTCCTGCCTCCTGTATTAGGACCCAATACTCCTAATCTTGCTATCTGTCTCTGACCTCAGCCCTTCCTCCTGTATTAGGACCCAATACTCCCAATCTTGCTATCTGTCTCTGACATCAACCTTGCCTCCTGTATTAGGACACAATACTCCTAATCTTGCTATATGTCTCTGACATCAACCCTGCCTCCTGTATTAGGACCCAATACTCCCAATCTTGTTATCTGTCTCTGACATCAACCCTGCCTCCTGTATTAGGACACAATACTCCTAATCTTGCTTTATGTCTCTGACATCAACCCTGCCTCCTGTATTAGGACACAATACTCCTAATCTTGCTATCTGTCTGTGACATCAACCTTGCCTCCTGTATTAGGACACAATACTCCTAATCTTGCTATATGTCTCTGACATCAACCCTGCCTCCTGTATTAGGACCCAATACTCCCAATCTTGCTATATGTCTCTGACATCAACCTTGCCTCCTGTATTAGGACACAATACTCCTAATCTTGCTATATGTCTCTGACATCAACCCTGCCTCCTGTATTAGGACACAATACTCCTTGTCTTGCTATCTGTCTCTGACATCAAACCTGCCTCCTGTATTAGGACCCAATACTCCCAATGTGGCAATCTGTCTCTGACCTCAGCCCTGCCTCCTGTATTAGGACCCAATACTCCCAATGTAGCAATCTGTCTCTGATCTCAGCCCTTCATCTTGTATTAGGACCCAGTACTCCCAGTGTTGCAATCTGTCTCTGACATCAGCCCTTCCTCCAGTATTAGGACACAATACTCCCAATGTAGCAATCTGTCTCTGATCTCAGCCCTTCCTCCTGTATTAGGACCCAATACTCCTAATCTTGCAATCTGTCTCTGACCTCAGCCCTGCCTCCAGTATTAGGACCCAATACTCCCAGTGTTGCAATCTGTCTCTGACCTCAGCCCTGCCTCCAGTATTAGGACACAATACTCCCAATGTAGCAATCTGTCTCTGATCTCAGCCCTTCCTCCTGTATTAGGACCCAATACTCCTAATCTTGCAATCTGTCTCTGACCTCAGCCCTGCCTCCTGTATTAGGACACAATACTCCCAATGTAGCAATCTGTCTCTGATCTCAGCCCTTCCTCCTGTATTAGGACCCAATACTCCTAATCTTGCAATCTGTCTCTGACCTCAGCCCTGCCTCCTGTATTAGGACCCAGTGCTCCCAGTGCTGCTATATGTCTCTGATTTCAACCCTACCTCTTGTATTGGAACTTAATGATTCCATTGTTGCAATCTGTCCCTGACCTCAACGCTGCCTCCTCTATTCCAGGACAAGCTGGTTCTATCGGGACAAAGATACAAGGTGAGCATCACCAATGATGTGAATGAAACCCGAGGGATGCTGGTGATCGAGCACCTCCAGAACACCGATGAGGGGACGTACTCCTGTATCGCCCATAACCAAGGTGGAAATGTGTCCGAGTCTGTCTTCATCGACACCATTGGTGAGTGACAAAGTATAGAAACACATACTTCATGCGAAATAAATGAAGAAAATCTTAGAACGTCACGTTACAATAGAAAAAAACAAACCCGGAAGAGACTCACCTTGATTACCATCTGATATATCGGGTGATGTATGCCCTGTCCAATGGATTAATGATAAAGAATAATATCTGTGTGTCTGATTTCAACGAGCTCACTTGTGATTAAGTTTCTCACATTATCAGTGATGACTTCACTTTGGTAATAAGCTGGCACTAAAGACGTGTGTCCCGCTCCTTACAGCGCCTCCTATAATTGAGCCTATCATTAACAAGACTGAGCCAGAGGGCTATGCTGTGGAGCTTGTGTGTGTTGCTAAGGGAGACCCAGCCCCGATGGTCACATGGAGAGTCAAGGGCTCCGACATCCCCATTTCAGCCAGTCAGGTGAGTAGATTTAGGTTACTAGTGGAAAGCAATTCCCCGTTTCAAACAGCCACGTGATTTGTTGTAAATCTATTGTAAGATTGATGCTGTCTTTTGGAATGACGCGGCCGGGGATCGAATCCCCGACCTTTTACTTTCTCCCGGCAGACGCTCTACCACTAGACGACGAAGACGGCCTGATTATGAGTCTATATACTGGCTTGATAACGTTATAATATAACGTGATAATGTTATTTTTTTCATGACTGAAAACATTGTGAACTTTACTAAATTAGTTGAGTTTCCCAGTGTAAAACAAGACTTTATTTACCAGTCAATTCCTTTTTTGTAGTATTGTGTAACTAAACTTATACCATGGCTTCGTAGTCTTTGAACAATCATTAACTGACTGAATTGTGAGCTATATCTATTTGGAAATGGTGGAGACCCCTCCCCTCTCCTAACTGATAGAATATCCGTTTATGAATGCTGAAATATGTGTTTTATGCAGTAAGTTTGATGTTATTCTATGCAGTGTTCGAACGTAGGAACTCCTAGCTTTTCCTTCAAATAAACGAACAGATAAACTAGTGTCCAAAAGAAACGATACCACCTGTTTGCAACGACATAAAAGAAAAACTAAACAATGCAGGAGTTTAGGATTGGTGTTATGCTTTTGAGAAATCCTTTCACAACATCTGTACACAAATTTCATTTCAATAAAATCTGTACAACCAATATGACAAGCCTTTAAAGATGGGTGGGGTCGAAAAATGAAAATTTCGTTAGAGCACTGATCACAGAAACAACGGGAAATGTCACACCACACGTCTCAAAGTCAAGTCAGCAGCGGGTATGTCCACCGTGAGCATCAATACATGCCAGAACACGCCTACGGACTGATGACGTCAAACGTTTGATGACGTTGGGAGTGATGCGTTGCCATTCCTCGAGGAGACATCGTTCCAAGTCCTGGACGTTGACTGGAGGCACACGGCGACGTCGGATTTGCCGATCGAGGTAGTCCCATAAGTGCTCGATGGGATTCATGTCCGGTGAACATGCGGGCCATGGCAAAACCCGTGCGTTGGCGTTGGCTAGGAAGTTCTGTGTCAATCTTGCTGTGTGTGGCCTTGCATTGTCATGTTGGAAAAGGAGTCCACGAGGCTGTTGCTGAATAAAGGGCACCACAGCAGGCCGGAGGATGTCATCAAGATAACGCTGTGCATTCAGGTTTCCACGAATTACGACAAGCATCGTTTTGACGTCACCACATATGCCACCCAAAACCATTAACCCTCCACCTCCAAACGGCCGGACCTGTTGGATACAGTTAGGCGCCAAACGTTCACCAAATCGTCGGTATACAAGCTGCCGTCCATCGTTTCTGAAGATGAGGAATCTGCTCTCATCAGAGAACATAAAACGTGCCCAGTCCCGCCGTTGCCAACGTCGAACTCGCCTGGCCCAGATCAGTCTGTTATTCCGGTGTCGAGGCGTCAGGAGCGGTCCGCGGTAGGGATGACGTCGCAGGATACCATACTGCCGTAGTCTCCTGTAGACGGTCTGTCGACTGATCCTGTGTCCCAGTGCTGTAGCCGCCGTGGACGTCGCTGTTACGGTGCGGTTCCTCAGGTGTAATACCCGGATGTAACGATCTTCATGGGGCGTGGTTACTCGTGGTCTTTCACTCCTGGGCCTGTCTGACGTCTGACCTGTCTGACGTAACCGCTGCATCAACCTGGTGATAGTGATGCGTGCGCAGCCCAACCTTCTGGCGACGTCGACGTGTGACGCTCCTTGTTGGACCATTCCAACGGCTCTCTCTCTCTCTCTCACTCGATGGCTGTCAAACGTGGCATATCTTGTGTTCTTTTTGTTGCTGTGATATCAACGTGTCTGATCAGCCGTTTTATACAGTTTTTATGCACGTGCAGAACATGCTAGAGAGGGAAATGTCACTTTCACGAAATTTACGTTTTTTTCCCGGAAATGATCACGTGTTCCCGGTATTTTTTATCGCCTATGCTGTGTTTGGGATGTGCAATACGAATTGGCATGTTTTCATACTAGACAATTCACTTAGTAAAAAACAATTTTGAAAATAAGTTGGTATCGTTTCTTTTGGACACTAGTTTACATGATACTGATAATATTGTTACCATAATGTAAAGTTTCATATTAAGGAAGCAATGTATATTTCTGTTATAGGACATCACCATTGAATATCAACACGAAAAACTGCCTTTGATTCAAGTTACAACAGTGAAACTCAAGTTCGCCAGACTGGAACAAAAGAACGCTAATAACTACACATGCTCCGCCTCCAATGAAGCTGGTACTGTGGAGAAGGATGGCAACGTTGTCGTTCAGTGTAAGAAGCAGGTCTTGCTTTCATGATCCACCCCACCGTGCTACTCACTCTGCTTTTCCTTCTGTTTGTACTTACTGTGTGTAGGCCATGCTTCCTGTATCGTGCTGTCATGTTAACACCCCTTTGGTCCCCAGCACCCATGCCCGTCTTTCTGTTTGATCATACTGTGTGTAGGCCGTGCTTCCTGTATCGTGCTGTCATGTTAACACCCCTTTGGTCCCCAGCACCCATGCCCGTCTTTCTGTTTGATCATACTGTGTGTAGGCCATGCTTCCTGTATCGTGCTGTCATGTTAACACCCCTTTGGTCCCCAGCACCCATGCCCGTCTTTCTGTTTGATCATACTGTGTGTAGGCCATGCTTCCTGTATCGTGCTGTCATGTTAACACCCCTTTGGTCCCCAGCACCCATGCCCGTCTTTCTGTTTGATCAAACTGTGTGTAGGCCGTGCTTCCTGTATCGTGCTGTCTTGTTCACACCCCTTTGGTCCCCAGCACCCATGTCCGTGTTTCTGTTTGTACCTACTGTGTGTAGGCCGTGCTTCCTGTATCGTGCTGTCATGTTAACACCCCTTTGGTCCCCAGCACCCATGTCCATCTCGCCCATGTGTGTACTCGATGCTGACGCCATCATGTATAGGGGATGCATGCAGAAAGTGCACGCCATTTTATACCCTTTACATCGCCATAAACCCCAGAACATATACGTCAACAATATCAGCTTCACCGAACTGTAGACACCAATGCAACACATGCCACGCCAATTCTATTATCAGCCAATCAAGATATAACAGTCACTTAGTGGGCGTAGTCTAACCGTTTTAGTTGTTTAAGGAAACATAAACAGTAAATATTGCAACGGAATCACTTGCAATCCACTTTCAGTGTTATATCTTAAACCTTCGTCCACTCTGTGTGTGTATGTTTTTTGCATGGATTAGTAGACAAATATTTGTACCAGGAAAAAAGTTGAGCGCCCTCTGACAATTTGGTCATGATATCTTCAAACATGTTTGCTTGCCTAAAACCAATAGAAACCTAAAGATGTACTATTGGCTGGAAGAGTCGATAAATTATAAAGACAAAAATGTTGACATTTTAGAAAGTGCTATTTATATTTCACTGTTCGTTATGGTCAATATTGGTACGTGACTTAATTATCAAGCAGTAGGGTGTCCTAGCTGTGGCTTGTATATAATTGCTGAATATGACAGCCAAGCCCTTGTCAATGTAGAGTATAGCGGGCATGTTCCGGATGACCACCTCAACCCTCTACCCCATGCCTCCTGTGAAACATGGGACATTGGACGATGGGGTAGGCTAGTGGTTAAAGCGTTCACTCGTCACACCGAAGACCCAGGTTCACCGAGGCCCATTTCTGGTGTCCCCCGCCGTGATATTGCTGGAATATTGCTAACAGCGGCATAAAACAGTACTCACTCACTCCAGTGAGACGCTTGATGCATTAGTCGTGCAGGTGCTGCTATTCACGATGCAGCGCGTGTTTCAGTTCCCGTAGATTGTCTACGGAGTGTCAATCATCTGTGTCTTGCACCCCAAGCTCCAAATGTGTTTCGGTTGGCTGCGATCTTGACTCATGGGGGACAAGGGACATCCCAATATCAACCGAGTTCGCGCGATATTAATTAGTGAGTGAGTGAGTATGGTTTTACGCCGCGTTTAGCAATATTCCAGCAATATCTCGGCGGGGAATAACAGAATGGGGCTTCACACATTGTACCCATGTCGGCAATCGAACCCGGGTCTTCGGCGTGACGAGCGAACGCTTCAACCACTAGGCTATCCGACTGCCCCGCGACATTAATTAAACTTTCCAAGGGGAGCTTCATTTTTTTCCAGGTGTATGTATGTGAACATGTTTTTGATCTCCACAATGTCCTGAAATGATATATGTTCGCCTTAGTTAAGCCTTACTTTGCGGACACCCCGTACTCGTCAACCTACGGCTGGGTAAACCACAAGTCGGAGATCAAGTGTGTTGCGAATGCTGTCCCTCTTGCTGTCATCATTTGGAAATACAACGACGCCATCATCACCGATGGACCATTCTTCAGTATTAGCTCAAAGCAAGGAAATCGACAGATGATCAGCATTCTAGAGGTATTGTTGTCATTGCTCACCATGAATTATTATTATTATTATTATTATTATTATTATTATTATTATTTACGTATTGAAAAAAACAAAATGCAGCAAAAAGGGTTTGGGTGATCCTGGCACAGTCAGGCTGGTTAGGCGACAGCGAATGGGACTTCTCCCAGGAAGCGCTACCTCCCTAGAACGTTTCAGAGAATGTGAAGTCTCCCAGACACTGCAGCACCCAGATTGTCAGATGGCCCGTAAACTGCCTCAGACGTATCCAGTCCATCAAACCTGATCTTGTCCTCTTTGATAAATCCAATGAAATCATTTATATTATTGAATTTTCTGGGTTTTTTTACACTAATGTCATTGACAAGATTCAGGAAAAACATGGCAAATATGCATACCTTACTTTCGAAATATCACGCTTGCATCCTCAGTACCAAGTTGTCCGACTCCCCATTGTTCTCGGTACATAGGTTTGGTACTTCTCAATCTGTTGACTGATATTGGGAGAGTACCTGGGTCAGCTGCCAGGAATAAAGCCCTTCTCACGATCTGGGTAATGCAGAAGGCTGCAGTGTTGGGGTGTCTTCACATTCTCCGAAAAGTTCTGGGTGGGCTTGTCTAGGCAGCGCTTCCTGGGAGAAGTCCCGCTGTCTCGGCTGCGTGAAGAGAGGACAAGGGCCCTGAGCTGATGATGAGATTAACCAGCGCGACTGTGCCAGGATTTGTAGAAACGTGCAGTAGATGTGAAGGAAGTTGATTAGTTTGCCTTTTAGAGATCCTCCCCCACCTTCCAGAAGTTTAAAAGTTTTAGGCGGGAACATTATCATGCAGTTAGTCGACATGTAATGTTTATCTTTCAGGTGTCGGTGAATGTTGAAAATGAAAACACAATCTTTAGGAACTTCACATGTGAAGCCCTGAATTTACTCGGAAAGTCCGAGAAGGTCTTTACCTTGAAACAGGCCGGTCAGTGCATTAAGACACTATTAAGTTACATACAGATAATTGTCATATAATAAAAAAATAAATTAATTGCTTGCACAAACCATCCTATTGCAGTGATTATAAATGAGGGAAAGTATTCTATCCATTCCACTTTCCAGATTAATCGTCATCATGTTTTAGCCCTATTCTATTTCAGTGGAGCCAGCATCTCCGACTATTTCCATTGGAGTGATGACTCCCATGACCATCGAGCTAATAATAACCCCTCCTGAAGAGACAGGGGGCCCACCCGTCACTGACTACAGGGTCGTGTACTACGCAAAGGGTGATGAACAGAACAGGTTCGCACGAATGGCACCTGTTGGTAATAGGAACCGATATGAATTCCAGTAAAATAAGGTTAAGCCCAAACAAAGAAACAATTTTTGTTTCTCTCTCCCGCAAGTGTAATAGCAACCTGCGAGGTGATTTATCCCATATTATCTGCTAGTTCAACTGAGTGCTGATTCAGTTTAAGTGTGACACGGTTCATCAGTTTAACTGTTTTGTGTTTGTCAGGAACAAATTCCCAGAAGTTTGAGACTCAGCTCCTTCTCGATAATCTGGAAGCCAACGTGCTCTACGTCATCAGCGCAGAGGCTCGGAACAGCGTTGGTTATGGAGCCAAGGCCGCAATCTTTGTGTCCACACCAGCCGTCAGTAAGTTGAAAGCGTCAGACTCGGTGACTTATTTGTAGCTCACGATGTCGATCACTGGGTTGTCGTAAAAGGCAACTGAGGGCTCGGGTACTCAGGCTCGATGACTTGGTTGATGCATGTCATTGATCCGAATTGAGTGGATGCCAATCACTGGATTGCCTGGTCAAGGCTCGATTATATACAAGTCGCCGTCATGTGGATTGAGTATTGCTGAATGCAGCAAAAATGTTGATAAGAACGTTGCTGTTTTCTGGTTTCGACATTAATATTGTGACTTACACTGTCTCAAGCTGGGAGACCCGTGAAGTTCCGGTGTAGAATAGGTCTTCAGGAACCCATGCTTACCGTAAAGGGCGACAAACGTTATCGGGTGGTCAGGCTTGCTGACCTGGTTGACGCATTTCGTCGTATCAAAGTTGCGTGGATCGATTCTCATGATGTCAACCACTGGAATGTCTGGTCCAGATTTGAATATTTACAGAACGCTAACATATAGCTGGAATATTGCTGAGTGCGGCGTTAAACAACAAACAAACAAACAATCACCCACTGTCAGTCCATCTTTTTCTGCCTAAACTAACATACTGCCTTGTGTCTTCAGGGCAACCGAGCCCTCCAAAAGTTACCTCCCCTAGGTCGAGTGACACTCCCCACACCTATCTGTTGGTTTGGGAGAAACCAGAGACGGGAGGTTCACCATTGACTGGCTACAAAGTCAGGTATTACCAGGTACGTATATAGAGAACCGAGTGTCTTTTGATATCAAATACATCAACACGAGTCGATATAAGTGGAAAAAGTCCGAGTCTTGCAGGCGAATGTTGATATATTTGATATCAAATTGATATTGATATTTTATTTATCATCGAACATCATTCGTCCAAATTTCCATCATTCGTCCAAGTTTGATGACAGTAATAAGCAGTGTTTTAAGTGTAAAAAGTACTGCTAATACATTGTCAGTTCGTTACCGGCGTGTTCATTTTAAACGTAGTTTACTGTACTGTTAAACGTATCTCCGTGCAAGCTTAAGTGTTGCAATATACTACAAAACGTATCACAATACAGTCCTGAGTATCAGTGAGTGTGAGTGTGAGTTTGAGTGTGAGGTTGTTTGTACTAAACAAACGGAGGCGGTAATCGCAGTACATTTTACATTCTTTGTCAATTTCATGGATCTAGTTTTTGTGTACAGGTGGAACTGTACGACGGTAACCCCGAGAAGGTGAAGACAGTAGTCGGTGACAGGAAAACTCTGACTATAAGCCAGGACAATAAGACTGAGGTCAGACTAACTGAACTGATGCCCAACTCCACCTACGAACTGCAGATCACTGCCATAAACGCTATCGGCGTCTCCATGGCAACACGTAAACTAGTCACAACACCACCTGTTCAATGTAAGTGATAATGATTATGCTCTTTGATATCAATGCTCCATATCTTCAGCAAGTATTGTATTGAAAGAATTCCTGAAATAAATTCGAGTGTTTGAATTTTTGATGCAAGTTAAACGGTGGTGTAACTTTATGATAGCCTTGGGTCTTCATATTGTGAGAATAAAGTAATAATTGAAACGATGACAATGCTGAGACTTCTAAAGCAGTATTTGTCTGTCCAACAAAGATGATATTTGAGTTGAGTAGATATATTTTGCATTTGTTTTCTTTGCCAGGAGAAAATATAAGACTTTATATTTATTATCCAAATTCAAGTTAGCATGCATCTGTTTTAATTATTTAATATTGAATTACTTTGGACAGGGGTTTCAATGGAACGAGTTTAATCAATTCTGGTTTGATTGGTGAAACATTTGCTAACCGTGATGCAGACATATTAATGCATTTATAAAGACACACATGCAGCATGTAAGTCATGTTATACCAGGGCAACAAACATAAGGGATATAAACCGTGGTCAGATGATCTGTTGTCGTTGTGCTTAGGGGAAACTTGGAATTTGTTTTAACGAAAATCTTGCTGAAACTGTTTCGTGTCATGTGTTATCAGTTTGACTGAGTGAATTTCCAATGTGTCAACATTTATCAGCTTCACTTTATCCTGTTTTGTCCGATCACTATATCATGATTTATCTGTTTCACAATACCATGATTTATCTGTTTCACTGCGTCATGATATATCTGTTTCCTTGTGTCATGATATATCTGTTTCATTGTGTCATGACTCATCTGTTTCATTGTGTCATGATTTATCTCTTCATTGTATCATGACTCATCTGTTTCATTGTGTCATGACTCATCTGTTTCATTGTGTCATGACCCATCTGTTTCATAGTGTCATGATATATCTGTCCACTGTGTCAGGTTTATGCGTTTCCCCTAGGAATCTGGACTGAGTTCCAGATTAAATACAGTGTGAACGTGTATGTTCTTACCGCAATGTCCTAATGTCCCACGTATTTGTCTAAGTCAAGCCTAACTTTGCGGACACCCCGTACTCGTCAACCTACGGCTGGGTAAACCACAAGTCGGAGATCAAGTGTGTTGCTAATGCTGTACCTCCTGCTGTCATCATTTGGAAATACAGCGACGCCATCATCACCGATGGACCATTCTTCAGTATTAGCTCAAAGCAAAGAAATCGACAGATGATCAGCATTCTAGAGGTATTTATACGGGTAGCCTTGTTGTTAGGTCATTGTTCACCGTGCCGTATGTCATCATCATCATCATCATCATCATCATCATCATCATTATAATTGTTATGATGATGATGATGATGATGATTATGATTATGATTATGATTATTATTATTATTATTATTTAGAGATTAAAGTAAACAAAATGCATCAAAGATTGTTTGGGTGATCCTGACCCAGTCTGGCTGGTTATTGTTATTATGTGTAGATGAAATTTTAAAAATGCAGCAAAGAGGATTTGGGTGAACCTGACAGTCAGGCTGGTAAGGCTCATCATCAGCTCAGTGCCCCCTCTACACGTCTCCTCTACATGCAGCCCAAACAGCGAATGGGACTTTTCCCAGGACGCGCAACCTCGACGAGAATTTGAAGACTCCCTGACACTGCATCACTGATGGCGCAGGCCATCTTTGATTTCCGTCCAATGCCGATCACAAGGATAAGTTTCCCTTTTACAAATGAGAAGTGAAAGAATATTCCACCAGATTTTTATCGGGTTGTATCTAAAGCTGCTAAGCTGTATTTTGCGCATTGCGTGCTGTATATGTGAACACAAATACCCATGTTTAAGAAACAGCTAATGCGCTCCAGAAAGTGATTAAAGAAATATTTGTTTTAATTGATACCAAAACAGAGAATCAATTACAGGACATCAAAGCTTTTGTGAAAACGTATGTTTTGTTATGAGTTGTTTTGCTCAAGAGCACCCCTCTCCTCCCTCCTCCCCCAATCATCATTGTATTGTTTATCCTTCAGGTTTCGGTGAATGTTGAAAATGAAAACACTATATTTGGGAAGTTCACGTGTGTGGCTGAGAACACCCTTGGCGTGTCCGAAAAGGACATCATCTTGAAGCAGGCTGGTTGGTGCAATAAGCTCAAACAGACTTGAATATATTTTTTAATATTGATTTAAAAAAGGTGTTGTTTTTTTCAGAAAATGCTGGAAAATGTAATTTTGGCTCAGGTTTTACACACCAAACTAAATTGTCAACTTGACATACTGCATATCCTGACAAAATAATTTGTGAACAAAATTGTGCAGTAGAAAAGTCATGTTCTAAAGCATCATGCGGGACTGTGTTCTGCCTCTAGAGTAAGTCCTAGCCCCTAAGATTATGTGTTCCCTCAGACAGGACAGTAATCCTTTTGACATTGCAGACTCATTGTCCATTTAGTTGATGATCCTGTTAAAATTTCAGTGAAGCCATCGGCCCCGAGTATTTCAGTTGATAGGCTGACCCCCAGGAGCTTCCGTCTGCTGATTACTAAAAGTCAAGAAACTGGTGGGCCGCCCATCATTAACTACATGATTGTGTATTACGCTCAAGACGATGTTAAGAACAAGTTCAAAATGAGGGTACCTGTTAGTAAGTGAAAAATTTGATCAATTCCATGAGTGAGTGAGTTCGGTTTTACGCCGCTTTTAGGAATATTCAAGCAATATAACGGCGGGTGACACCAGAAATGGGCTTCACACATTGTACCCATGTCGGGATTAGAACCCGTGTCTACGGCGTGACGAGCGAATGCTTTAACCACTAGGCTACCCGACCGCCCCTATTAATTCCATTAAGATAGGGTGAAGCCATAACATGAGGTTAAGACTACATGCTTGTGTATCACGCTGAAGACGATGTAAAGGACAAGATCAAAAGACAGTACCTGTCACAAAGTGAAACTTTATTAATTCCATTAGGATAGGGTGAAGCCCAAAACAAAGAAATCTATTTTCCTCTTTTCCACAGACATAGTTTCATTTAATTCTAATGGAGTGTTGTTTAACCCTGCCATGTTTTATCAGTCTAATGTGTTCTGTGTTCGTCAGATGCAAACCCCGAGGAATTGCAGACTCAGGTCTTCATCGATTATCTTGAAGCCAAGGTAAAATACAACATCAGGGTGAAGGCTCGGAACAGCGTGGGCTATGGAGCCAAGGCAAAAATCTCTGCCAAGACCCTGGTCTACCGTGAGTTGAAACCTGACAATAAGGATTGTGTTGATACATAATGTTGCAGTGATTTGCGATTATCGTGGCTGTATGATGCATTACGATCATTCTACAGGTTATGGATTTTGTTTCTTTGTTGCTTAAGAGGAAAGTTGACATACCGTATTCAACCCGCTCTAATAAGCGCCCACGGCGATATTTGCAAATATATTGGCTAGTGAACAATCACAATTAGCGACCATTCCGATTGATCAATGTACACAAGACGTTTTATTCGCGTATAATACGCACTCGTGGGTTATATGCACCCTTAAGTACCGGCAATTAAATTCTGGAAAAATATATCTGTCGTATATAAACATTTCAGGCTGTCAGCATAAACCACGAAATTTCTCTTTTAACTTTCACCAAAATGAAATACTAATAAGAGCCCCCTAGGCTATTTCTAATTTTGAGAGCGCCCTGGACGTTTATTACGTCAAATACGGTAGTCTGTTCAGACATTGACTGTACTCCTTATGAGAACAGATATAATAGATAAATTGTTGTAATCATTTCAGCAACCTCACCCTTTTGCGTCCAAAGGGACGCACTGTGGAGATTATTGCTTCCATTCTTAATTTGTTTGTAAAGATGATGAACTATTTTATACGTTCTCTGTGTTTGTGTCATCATCATGATTTCCATAATATCTGCACTTAAGTATTTTCGTATCATGAACTATCTTGCTTTGATTAATGTTTTGACCTGCGAGAAACATGCCACACACTAACAAGAGCTTTTCTTCTAGAGGAAAAAAACCAAGTTCCTCCCTTTCCCGACTGACTAATATGGAGACCAGACTCCCAAACTGAAATTCTTGTTTTCCTTTTATCATCATTGTATGCAAATAATAAATTGTTTGGCGTATATTTTAGATACAGAAATACGTGCTGGACAGGATAAATGTCCTGAAAAGTTGTCCTAGGATTTGCATCACGTTCCTCTCCCATCCCCCTCTGAAGATTAACCAGTTGGTCCTTTGTGGTTTGAAACACAAGTAACTCAGCAGAGTCTAAGTGTTTTAACTTGCTTCTATATTCCAGCCCCACTGTCTCTGGAAGTCCCCGCTATTGTGAATGATCCCATTGTCGGCACCAAGTTCGTGATGACTTGCAGCGCAAAAGGCAGTCCGTACCCATCATTAATCTTCCAGAAGGTGAGGTACTTGTGTTTGGGATCCCATTCACCAGGCGTTGGTTGTATCTTGAATTGCGAAGTCCAAATGTCGTTTTTGTCAGAGCATGCAAAACGTTATCAGATTGTATGCTATATAGAGAATCTCACCCGAGCGTCTTTTGATATCAAATATATCAACACGAGTTGATAAAGGTGGTAAAACACCAAGGCTTGCCGAGGATTTTTTTCCACTTTTATCAACGAGTGTTGATATATTTTGTATCAAAAGACACGAGGGTGAGATTTAATTTATCATCCAACATCATTCTTCCAACTTTTTCAGTTTGAAGAAAGTAATAAGCAGTGTCTTAAGTGTAAAAAAGTACTGCTAACAGCTTCAGTAGCAGAGCCATTAGTGATGTCATTTGACCAATGACATCACAATGGTCTGCAAAGCATTGTCATGCAATTTCATTGCAGCGATATCTACAGTATAGATATCACTTGATCTCACCCAAGCGATATCTCCTGTCGGAGCCAGTTTTGGCAGAACCATGCCCTTTGTAATATATGAAATCATATGCATTCACACAGAGGTAAGAATATTGTATATCGTAGAGGTTATGAGCAATATCGCGGTGCGTCAGCAAATTGATTTAGTCTTTACAGACAGGATATGAAGTGTGACAAAACACATTAAATTATTATATAAGTATTAGATGGGGCCTAATCCTCGACTCATTACAGGACAACACAACCCTGTCGGGGGAGAGATACAAGATGGGGGTCCTAAATGATGTGGATCGAACCGATGGGATCCTGTTGATCGAGCACCTCCGGAACACCGATGAGGGGACGTACTCCTGTGTCGCCCATAACCAAGGTGGAAATGTGTCCGAGTCTGTCTTCATCGACACCATTGGTGAGTGTTAACATCGGGAAACACGTACGTCAGGAAAACTAAGTGTTTGTTTTAATGTCATGTGAACTGGGTAGTGTATGGACGAACCAACGTCCTTATTATTTGTTTATGTCTGGGATTTCACCACCAAAGATCTGTCTCAAAGACTAATCATAATCCTTAATACAATCAAGGAAAGACTTTCTTTATATTCACAGACAAGTGGAATTAATGCCAAGTGGATTCTCAAAACCTCAAAGGGTTTGTTTGATTTTTAACAATCTCAGAAAAGAAGTTTCAGTCTGTCAAACGTTTGATTTTTCAGCTTTGTACACCACTATCCCACAGGAAAAACTGAAGGAAATACTCTATTCCTTGATCCATGGGGCCTTTGTTACAAAATGTGGTGAACACAGATACAGTTCCGTGTGTATATTCAGAGGTCCAGGACAATTTGTGAAAAATGAAAGCATATGCCATCTGAAGTTTACTGAGAAAGCAATATGTGAAATGCTGGACTTCCTCATTGATAACATCAATGTAAAGTTTTGGCATAAGACATTGAGGCAAGATACAGGCATCCCCATGGGCACCAATTGTGCTCCCCTTCTTGCGGATCTGTTTCTTTATGCAAATGAATCGGAATTTCTGTTTGGCTTGGCAAAGTCAAGGCAATTTGGCCAAGATTGTTTAACTAAAGCTTCAGATATATTGATGATCTGATATTGTTCAATAACAATCAAATAGCCAATTCCTTTCCACTGACTTACCCACCTGAAATAGAAATAAAGGAGACCAGTGTGACCGCCTCATCAGTTTCATTTTTAGATCTATGCATAAAGATTCAGAGTGACAAAACTCTCTCCACAAGACCGTATGATAAAAGGGATGACTTCAACTTTCCAATAGTCAACTTTCCCTTCATGTCGAGCAATATTCCAGCAGCTCCAGCCTTTAGTGTTTACATTTCGCAGCTTTTGAGATACAATCGAACATGCTCATTCTACCAGGATTCCAAAGAGCTTCAAAAGAGTCTTGCTCAGGAGTTGTTTAATCAAGGTTACAACATTCAAGGCCTCAGTAAACCTTTCAAAAAGTTGTATTGTAGACATGTGGAGGACATTTCCATATTTGACGCATCAGTGACAAAAATGATGTCCGTGCAATTCCCAATTTTGACTTGTACCATATGTTCCCGTATTTTTTAGGTAAACAATTGACTTGCCTTTGCATGTGTTTGTGACGGGTGCCACCGCTGGAACAGGATACACTTTTTTCGCGAACACCTGGTATCATTACCATTTGATAGTGATTCATAAACACATGCTCATGATATAGTCGGAATTGTACAATCGACTCTGCTTTATGCAGAGATTTTTCTTAGATATGGAAAGGGTATTGTCGCTTTAATTCCCACATTATCCGTGTTGATTTAACTTTGGTCATAAGATATCAACGTGCGCTGTGCTCTTTACAGTACCGCCTATTATTGAGCCTATCATTAACAAGACTGAGCGAGAGGGCAATGCTGTGGAGCTTGTGTGTGTTGCAAAGGGCGACCCAGCCCCGATGGTCACATGGAGAGTCAAGGGCTCCCACAGCCCCATTTCCGACAGTCCGGTGAGTCATACAGTTGTTAAGTTGTTGTTGTTAGTGGGGAGTCAAGTACTCCAACATCATGTTGAAAAGTGTAAACCTGTTGTTAGCTTGATGGTGTTGTTATTGTCTCAGAATATTAAAGCACGCCTTTGCAAATGAACAAGCTTTAAGGTTGTTTCAAGTTTTTTATCCCGGTCTTTGATCATATTATATATACTCTGCAAAAAAAGAAACGCAAAAGTGATTTCAGATGTATATTTTTAAAATCATCAAAAGATGGTAATCCATTTGTTCAAAATAGGCAGGTACCGTTGTCATTGACTCAGGTTCCATATGACACACAGATTTTCAAGGTGAAGGTTATCTGTTCTCATTATCTTGTGTGGCCATCATTAGAGTTTTATCTGACTGGCATTATCGGCCATGGAAGCAAGCAGATACCGAATTATGGCCTGGGGCAATGTTCAGCCACTCTGCCAGCAGTGCTTGTGCCAACTGTCGGGGGTTCTGTAGTTGTTGCTGATGTGCTTGTAGACGTTCGTGCAGTGCATCCCATATATGTTCGTTTAGGTTTAAGTCTGGAGACCTGGAGGGCCATGGCAGGACCTGTATGTTGTGATTCCTCAAAAAGCCTGTTGTCAGTCTTCCCGTGTAAAATAGTGCATTGTCTTGTTGGAAAATGACGTTCACTTGTTGCATAATGGGAAAAACGAATGGCTGAAGAATATCATCCGTGTAACGTTGTGCGTTAAATTCCCCAGAACTTGCACCAAATGTGTTCCGCCAGTGCAGGAGATTGGTGCCCACATCATCACGCTACCACCACCATATCTGTCTGGTTCCTGTATGCAGTTTCATGCATAATGTTCCCTTCGATGCCTGTAAGCACAACGTCTACCATCCGCACGGCGAAGCATGAAACGTGACTAGTAACTAAACCAAACTTGACTCCAACGTAGTTGTTGCGATACTCTGTGACCTTGACACCACTGACGTCGCAACCGATAATGCAAGTCCCCCAAAATGCACACAAATGAATCCCAATCCATGCAAAGTGACGAATTCATTTTTAAAAATTAATTTTGTATGGATGTCGGCACCACACCTGTTACATATTTTTGGTGTTAGTGTTTGTGCCTTTTCTTTTTTTGCAGAGTATATATCTCCTTTATACCACTGTGAAATGTTTTTGAAAAGGATCAAGATCCTCCTAACTGTCATGGCCCGAGGAAAACTTTATTTAAGCTTTAACGCAGGATTTACTCCATGTCAATGAAATTTGGTATGTGTCTTCCTCCGAGCAGGCCACGATCGGATCAGGTTGTTAGTGAATTACGTATAAGGCGAACGTCGCAATGAAGGTCATTCGTAAAGTAATTTGACATTGTCTCTGGAGGACCCTTTTATGCAAACCTTTGTGAAAACCTTACACGTGTAACGGTATGGCATTTAATTGATTCATTGTAGGTCAAGGTCATCGAGTATTCAGGTGTAAGGATGCTCTGCTTCTATGTGTATTGAACCAACTCCATGTTTTCGAGAACATGTTCGTCGGGACTAGAACACATTTAATCTGGAACTAGTCAAGCACTGAATGACTGAACATGAGAGTCAAAATCCATTAACACGGAAGTGCATATAACTTTGTTTAATTAAGGTAGTGAGAGTCTTCACCATTGAAGAACACGTTGAAGTAAAGCCTCCGATTCATGTCAGGGCTGCGACACTCACGTTCACCAGATTGCAACCAGAGCACGCCAACAACTACACATGTACCGCCGCCAATGTGGCTGGAACTGACGAGAAGGATGGCAACATTATCGTTGAGTGTAAGTACTAGGGAAAGTCTTCATGGTAACACCCAGTTGGTCCCCATCACCCCATCCCAGCCTCTTTGAGTGACTGCGTACGCTGTATGGGTCCCCTGCACCCCATGGTTCTGTGTGTGTGTGGATTCATGAGCTGTATACTTGGTCCCCTGCACCCCATGGTTCTGTGTGTGTGTGGATTCATGAGCTGTATACTTTGTCCCCTGCACCCCATGGTTCTGTGTGTGTGTGGATTTATGAGCTGTATACTTGGTCCCAAGCACCCCATGGTTCTGTGTGTGTGTGTGTGTGGATTCATGAGCTGTATACTTGGTCCCAAGCACCCCATGGTTCTGTGTGTGTGTGTGGATTCATGAGCTGTATACTTGGTCCCCTGCACCCCATGGTTCTGTGTGTGTGTGGATTCATGAGCTGTATACTTGGTCCCCAGCACCCCATGGTTCTGTGTGTGTGTGTGGATTCATGAGCTGTATACTTGGTCCCCAGCACCCCATGGTTCTGTGTGTGTGTGGATTCATGAGCTGTATACTTGGTCCCTAGCACCCCATGGTTCTGTGTGTGTGTGGATTCATGAGCTGTATACTTGGTCCCCTGCACCCCATGGTTCTGTGTGTGTGTGGATTCATGAGCTGTATACTTGGTCCCCAGCACCCCATGGTTCTGTGTGTGTGTGGATTCATGAGCTGTATACTTGGTCCCCAGCACCCCATGGTTCTGTGTGTGTGTGGATTCATGAGCTGTATACTTGGTCCCCAGCACCCCATGGTTCTGTGTGTGTGTGGATTCATGAGCTGTATACTTGGTCCCCAGCACCCCATGGTTCTGTGTGTGTGTGGATTCATGAGCTGTATACTTGGTCCCCAGCACCCCATGGTTCTGTGTGTGTGTGGATTCATGAGCTGTATACTTGGTCCCCAGCACCCCATGGTTCTGTGTGTGTGTGGATTCATGAGCTGTATACTTGGTCCCCAGCACCCCATGGTTCTGTGTGTGTGTGGATTCATGAGCTGTATACTTGGTCCCCTGCACCCCATGGTTCTGTGTGTGTGTGGATTCATGAGCTGTATACTTGGTCCCCAGCACCCCATGGTTCTGTGTGTGTGTGGATTCATGAGCTGTATACTTGGTCCCCAGCACCCCATGGTTCTGTGTGTGTGTGTGGATTTAGTGGCTGAATCATAGGTCAACAACACCCCATGGTTCTTTGTGTATTTGGATTCATAGCCTGAATAGAAAGTTTCAAGCACATGAAGATTCTGTGTTCGTGGATTTAGAGGCCAATCTATTGGACCAGACAATCCAGTGAGTGACATCACAATCATCGATCAACGCAATTGGGACACGATGACATGCATCAACCAAATTCCGATCCCGTTAGTCGCTTCTTACGACAAGCATAGTTGCCTGCAACAGCAAGTATGGGTTGCCGAACACCTATTTCTTATGTCTTCACGGACAGGCACATACCAAACACATTATCCACCACACTCACCATCATATTCAGTATACTACACAAAGCTAGTAAGCTCTTACAAATTATTCAAAAATATATCCATCCAAAATATGTCAGGTTGAAATTGTCGAACAGGATCCCGAAACACGTGTCCTTAGAGACATGCAAGGACATCATTTTGCTCTAAAAAATCAGATTCTGCCATACATGTCTCTCCAAATCCTCATATGACCATCGTCACAAAAGTCTACCAAAGTACGAATTTTTTTCAGCTTCGTTGATCCAAATTTTGAATCCTGGCACTATAAACTTATGTCCATATCTTCCATCCATGTTTACGTTATGCTGATAAAGTCGAATGGGTTTATGTAAACGGAAAGGTACTGAAATCATTCCCGATACATCCGCGAAAAACGACGTTCTATTCTCATATTTACAATCATCAATATAGTCCGTCTGATCTATCTGAGGCATCCTACGATCACGCTCGGTCTCGTCTCACCTCTGGCGGGTTTCTGTCCTGTCCCAGAAACTCAGAAGTTCTGTGTGTGAACCTTACCGTTCATGTCCTTGTGTTCTGATGTCCTCGCTATCCCATCTGACTGGTCTGTTTGATGTAGTTCTCTCTGGAGTCTCGTGACGAGCTCTCATCTCATCGTCTCTCCATGTGTCCCCCTTCTGTCTCGTCTGTTTGATGTAGTCCTCTCTGGAGTCTCGTGACGAGCTCTCCTCTCACCGTCTCTCCATGTGTACCCCTTCTGTCTCGTCTGTTTACTGTAGTTCTCTCTGGAGTCTTTGGACGAGCTCTCATCTCACCGTCTCCCCATGTGTACCCCTTCTGTCTCGTCTGTTTGCTGTAGTTCTCTCTGGAGTCTTTGGACGAGCTCTCCTCTCACCGTCTCTCCATGTGTACCCCTTCTTTCTCGTCTATTTGATGTAGTCCTCTCTGGAGTCTCGTGACGAGCTCTCCTCTCACCGTCTCTCCATGTGTACCCCTTCTGTCTCGTCTGTTTGCTGTAGTACTCTCTGGTGTCTCGTGACGAGCTTTCATCTCACCGTCTCCCCATGTGTACCCCGTCTGTCTCGTCTCATTCATGTAGTTCTCTCTGGAGTCTCTTGACGAGCTCTCATCTCACCGTCTCTCTTCACATACTCCACAGCTTCCCTACTTTATTAACAGGAGTATTTCGACGTAATCTGCATTGCTCGTGTCGCTGGAATTAGCCACTACATATACCATTTCCCCCCAGGATGTTCCAAAGTCCAGGTGTGTGGATTTTATCATCCCAATGTGCTGTCCCTATGACAAGTTTGAAGCTTTATTTGTGTGTTTTGTTCGATATCGTGTGTACATCTTCTGTCTCTATCAGCAAGTTCCACATATGCAGGATTCTTATTTCTGGCTCTATGAAAATGTCTAGTATCTTTTCCTTGCACGGTTTATAAGTATAGGTCCTTTACTCCCGTTGTTTGTTGTGAAAGATGATTAAATGTCAGTGGGCACAACATGTAGTCTGTGGCATGAATCGATGCTGTTGTTGTTGACCAAGGGTTTGACTGGTCCCTTGTCGTTTACGCAGGATAAACAATAGTCATTCCAATTCCCACCAAAGACAAAACATTACGATGGCTTTGAGCTTCAACATTTTGATATTTTAAAAAAAAATGTTGACATTTCAAAGCAGTTTTTTATGTCCAACAAGGATGATATTTTCTGTAATTGCGTTGATATATTAAACGTTTGCTTTTTACACCAGGCGAAACTATAAGACTTAATAAAAATTCGCAAAATTCACGTTAGTATGCCTTTGATAATTTGATTTAAACTGAAAGAGTTTAATCTATAATTATTTTATCGGTGAAACATTTGCAAACTATGCTGCAAACACATTAATGCATTAAAGGGGGTGTTGTTCTGACAAAAAGTCAACTTGTAAGTCATGTTACACCAGAGCAACACAAAACAGGGAAGTATGCCGTGACATGGTGATCTACACAGTTTGAGGGAAATTGGAATTTGTTTTAACGAAAAAAATGCTGAAAATGTATTATGTTTTATCACTATGACTGTGTGATGTTTTATGTGTTCCCTTGCCTATTCCTTTGTGTCATAATTCATCAGCTTCACGTTGTCATGTTTTATCCGTTTCATTAAGTCATGTTTTATCCATTTCACTGTCATGCATATCCATTCCACTATGTTATGCCTATCCGTGTCACTTTATCATGATTTATCCATTTCACAATGTTAAGTTTTATCCGCTTCAATATATCATGCTTTATCCGTTTCACTATGTCATGCTTTATCCGTTTCACTTTTATGTTTTATCCGTTTCACTATATCATGCTTTATCCGTTTCACTATGTCATGCTTTATCCGTTTCACTTTTATGTTTTATCCGTTTTACTTTGTCATGCTTTACCCGTTTCACTTTATCATATTTAATTTCTTTCAATGTATCAGTGTTATCAGTTGTACTGTGTCCTGTGTTTGCCCCAGGAGTTTGGACTGCATTCTTCATTGGGACGCTGGATGTCTTAGTTTATGGAGGCTCGGAACAACATTGGCAATAAAGGCAAACATGCAATCTCTGACTTGACACCGCCCAGTTGAACTTGAACATATTGGCAGTGCTTGTATCTTGTTTAATGCAGCATTCAGCTGCATGGCAGCGACCTCTAGAAACACTATGACGTCATGATGTCCGTTCAGACTGACAGTTAGCTAGAGTTTTTAACGAAAATAATCATCAGCAGATTCTTAGGCTTTTGCGAGCTGACTGCTCACCAGGTTTTAAAAAACGAATGACCGAAGAAACTTTGTATGGAGGAAAATGACTGATCCCAAAGGTGACATTTCTACCGACTCTTTTACCAACATTGTGTTTTCTGTCTTCAGGGCAACTGACCAACCCATAGTGTAGTGTTGTTGTGGCTGGATTTAACCCAAGATTGGAAGAACGTTCCCGATTGGCGACAAGAGAACACAGAGAGTACCAGGTATGTAAATAAGTATCTCACTACCATACCACCATTGACATTCCCTAGCTAACCAATGACAAGAGACTTTTTTCATTACCAGAAGGAACCCGCCGTCTACAATAGTGGTATCCAGACCTCTGAGAGAATTATGTTGCAAATACTAAGCAAACAACATAATAAATGCAGTCCATCACAGTTAGGCACAGAACTTTTCAGCCACCCCTCGTACCATGCACACTGAAAATATATGGCATCTGATGTGTTGTTGAGCGGATACAGTCACATTCACAACCTGATAAATGGCATCCAGTGTCCAGCACACCCAAGTGAAGAGCAAAGTGATCTTGAAGCGAAAGTGTAAATCATCAGTTCAGATGGAACATTCCCATTTTCTAGCATCTGATGAAATTCCTTTTTTGAAATTTCGCCTGACACTGCAAACAGTGGACACAATATCGTGTTCTTATCAAGTGATAGAAGTGGTGATACCTTTGATCTGGGCATTTGGAATGATAGAACCAGTGTGGGATAACAATGGCATGAAATGCTTTTTAGGAAAGGGGGCACTTCTCAGCACAAGTGTGATCATTATTCAGCTGCAGTCATTGCTCTCATATGGACATGTCTGATTTTATGATGACGTAGAAGAAAGGTTCTACATGTACCGCGGACACTTATCTAAGTAGAGATTTCAGAGAAGAGCAGTTCGCCATCCGAAATTGCATGTGTTCACTGGATGTGACTTAGTGCATTAAAATGTAAAGGCAAGAAGTCATATCCACACGGGAACACATCACAGAGGTTTCAACTGAGTTAGAGTCACAAGTATCAGGTGGACTAGCTCAGTCACTTAAGAAATGTGTCTGCTCATTGTATGGAGAAGACAGCTGGAGAACTGTAAGTGAAGCACAACTGGTTCAACTGGCTGCAAGTGGGAGACATCTCTTTGTCGCAACAAGGATTCCCAGAAGCGGCATGTCCAACAAGCAAATAACAAAGTTGCAATTCAGCGTCCAAGCCTCGAGAAATGCATTGGAGCGACAAATCCGCTTGGACATTAACGGCTGAGAGACTATGACATAATTCTTGTGAAATGGACTGCCACCCTAATTGCTCCTGAGACTATTCTTGTCTTTGTTCATTGCAGATGTTTCTTCTACTAATGGTTTGCATGCAAGCGCATTTTTCAATTGCAGAGAACCGTGTATGTCAACGTACACATATCGATAACTATTATTAGTAGCCTGCAGGACTTTATATTTCTGACAAGAATAGATCAAGTGTTTCAATGACACAACCAGCTTGTCCGAAATGAGTTGTGGACTAGTTGGACATGGCCAGTGATGTCTACTGCAGTGATCTGTCGTCAGTAATTTACTATATTTAGATACTAGCGTGGTGTGTAAACGTCCTGTCCAGCATACCACGGACGGTGATAGAATGTTATGGAAACTTTAATGTTCTAGTTCCGTGAGACGAGTGAGGGCACTGTATAGAAAACACCAGTTGCTTGATAGGCTGTATACATAGTGGGACCAAAACATGTTTACGTATCTCTCACGCATTTTTAGTCATCAGAACCAACTTTCATGTGAGGATCGTTCATTATCGCAGATTCCCTGCCTAGGTCATCTCGGAAGTTTGACCCCTTTCGCCACTGGGTGAATATATATTATTATCACTGACTTTTGCTTTCACCACTGCATTTTTATATTTGAAACTGATCACTGCCATCATATTATATATTGTCGTTGAATGTTGTACTACCACCCTACTGTACTGCCATCGTAATTGCTGTGCAGTAATTTGTGTTCATTTGTAAACCTAGTTAGTTTTGTAATACACATTTTAATTGTATTTCATGCCTTGGTTGTTTGTTGGTTTCACACTATTTTTTTACGTACAGATTTCTGGATTAACATTTTGTTTCTATTTGGGAATCGACACGTAACAGTGTAGTGAATTAACAAAACCTTGCACGAAAAAATGTACCAACAAACTTACGAAACTATTTGCAAGTTCCATTTTGACAAAACACTTCCTATATTTTACAAGACACTAAATATTCAATGGTTGTGTCTGCAGAATGGCACCGTCCCTTTCACCTCCCTTATAACATTTGACATGGGTTAGTTATTTTCTTGTCGTTCTGTTAGCTGTAATCATAACATAATTTATGTCAAGATAGCTGAAATGGTTTCCTATCATGGTGAATACATAGGAAAAATTGGTTCACAAAAAAATGAATTTTGCTACACTGAAATAACATTGGCGTTATGTACACCTATTCTTGTTAAACACTATGATATCAAAACTTGGATTGATGTATTTAAATAAATCCTCACACAAACCCATCTTTCTTGCAGTAAAATGTTGTTTTAAAATGATGAAATGTTTTATATCAGCAACATGAATTGCTCATAGATACAAAAAAAATGTTTCAGTTCGATTTCTAATAGATTAATAACATGGTTAGTTTGACTAAGAACCAAAATAAAAATGGATATTTTAAAATGTTATTTGTAATTTGTATACTTTTTTCTTTAATATTTTCATTTTTAATGATAAACACAATCTATGTCTCATAATGTTAGGTGGAAATCATTTAATCTTATTTTCTTGTAATCTTAACATGCTAAAGAAAAATATTTTTGGACACTACTGTGAACAGATTGATCTTACACCGGTAACACTATTCCACAAGGACCTATTCTTTGTTACACCGGCAGCGCATGTACATCGACTGCTCGACAGGAGCTGAATTCATGAACGATCTATACCCCAATAACAGTAGGCACGTCGGAGCACGTGCGCCTTTTGTGGGAAAAATAATTCACGTCCAATTCCAGTTTGTTTGTTGTTTAACGCCGCACTCAGTAATATTCCCGCTATATAACGGCTGTCTGTACAAAATCGAGTCTTGACCAGACAATCCAGTGACTGACATCATGAGCATCGACCTATGCAACTGGGACACAATATGCATCAACAAAGTCAGGGAGGCTGACCACCCGACTCCGTCAGTCGCCTCTTACGACTAGCGTAGTCGCCTTTTACAGCAAGCATGGTTTGCTGAAGGCCTATACTACCCGGATCGTCACGGGAGACGTCCCACCCCACTAAGCGCAAATACTTCCTGTGAATATAAAGAAAGTCCTTCCTTAACAGGAAAAAGGACAAAACGTGTCAGCTGTTGTAAAAATGGTGAAAACTGACACCTCAGTGTCACATGGATGCTATTCTTCGCCCGATTGTCTCACCATTTCCACAACAGCTGACACATGGTGTCCTTTATCAGCAAAACTACTTCTGTTGTTTGGGACTTCTTTCGTCTAATCATCAGTACAACATGCTAAAAATCTTTACAAGCCACATATACAACAGCCCTTTATTCAGGTCTTTTCTTATCCAAATATGTCATACATGGAGGAGTCCATTCATACAACATGGAAAACCCCGTACAGATCCGGGTTGGAAATTATACTGAACCGTGAAAGAAACGCAATCATGTATATATATATATATATATATATATATATATGAGAAACCTTATTTGTCCAAACCCTGTAAACATACTTTGAGACATATTAGAAAGATGAAAGTTGGCAAAACTGAAATTAAAGTGTCAAATGCTCTTATAGTGAAACACAACACTATTCTCTGAGAAAATGGCATTACAAGTCAGTAGCTCGTGTGAGGTGAGGTGAAATGGGGTTTAACGTCGCGTCCAAGATTACTGCACTTATATAGCGACGTGCATGTACGTGTGTGTTTGTGTGGATGTTTGTACTAGTCCGGGCTGATGCCAGAGAGGGTAGCAACAAGTACCATCTTTTAACGTCTTTTGGTATGAAGCGGCCTGGGATCTAACCCCGGACCTTCCGCTCTGCGGGCGGACGCTCTACAACTAGACCACGGAGGCGGTCGTATCACGTGTGACCGCCATGTACATTGATGACTGCCATGCAACGTGAAACATGGAATGAATGAAGCGGTTGATGAAGGCCATAGCACACACTCTGAGGAACGCCTTGAGCAGTTTAGCTGCAGTCGTCGGCCTTGGTCGGATGTCATTCAGCTGTCTTTGAATCTCGTCCCACAGGTGCTCAATGGGATTTAAATCGGGACTGAGGACAGGCCACTGCATGGTTCTGCCATTCTGCTTGAGGAAGTCTCTTGTTGCTCTCGCAGTGTGACCACGGGCATTATCATGTTGAAAATCGTGGATGCGGTAACGTGCCAGATGTGGTATTGCGTGTGGTCTCAAGCATTGATCAGTGTACCGACCACCCAACGATTCTCTATCAACAACACACGCATCCAAATAACGTTTCCCATGGCGTCGTCAGTCTCTCTTTGCTTATGGGATACAGTAACGGCTCTTATCTGAGAAGAGGACTCTTCTCCAATGCTGGTGGCGCCAATGCGAGTTGCCCACTGAAGACGCCATGGCGATGACGTGGTGTCAGAATGGGTCCTCGGTGTGGCCTGTGACAGTGGAGGTGTCTGCTCGTCAATCGTCGACGCACGGTGTCCGCACTAATGTGTCGCTGGTGTGTCCCAATTGTCTGTCGAGCAGTTTCCACAGCAGCAATGAAGCTATATTTAAGATGGTGTCGCCCAATCTGACGATCCTGACGTCGGATGGTAACCCTTGGTCTTCCACTACGTGGTCGGTCATTAGTAGTGTTGGTGGTCTGTTACCGTTGCTGGACCCTTTCTATTAGGGCTGACTATTGGTCTGGAAATCACTATTGCGATAACTATTGATATTGCAAGCAACTGTTGCGATAAATATCGATAGTTTTCAGTATATAACCTTGAACGCGACGTTGACCATTGTATCCTACCTCACCTCATATCCATAACCTTTACATGATACTCTCTTTAAGCCAGTTTAAAGAGAAACTGACAGCTATTCAATGTGCGTTAACACATGCAGTGCGTACACAGAAAACGAATTCAATGCAGGGGGTCGAGCCATATGGTGGAGGGGGTGGTATCGTGCGGGCAGGGCTGAACACCACTGATGAGGATCAATGTATTTCTCTCCTTCCCACAAAGGACCAATGGTTTCCCCTCCCTCTCACAAATTCCTCCCCACACAATAACACCCCCTCCACCATATGGCACGACCCCCTGAACGCAACATGCCGCCGTTCGGTCTCCCTTTCGGCGGTAAACACTCTGTCTTCCATCAGCTCTAAAGAGACAGAACCGGCTTTCATCGGTATAGACCATCCTCTGCCGGTCGCATCGCTGCCGACGACGATGTTGCGCTGTCAAAAACCATCCTTTATAAGGTCTGTAAGCCCACCTCCTGGACCCCGAATCGCCTGGCCTCTGTCTGTCGACTGACCATATGCCCTAAGGTCAGCATACTGTGTCTGAGTGAGGTATCCATGTTAAACTGCGGCATGGTTTCTCACTGGGATTGGAAACCTATGTCTCATTCTCAACCGGACACATGCCAGCTATTTGGAAAGTCCTCAAAATTCTACGATGACTGGAATCAAATATTATAAGTAGCTGCAGGCTTTTACATGTGTGCAGTTTGATACTGGTGTCGACGTCTAAGGAATTATCCTTGCCGCATGTATAATCTGGAAGGTAATTTAAGGTACCGACGTTTACTACAATATCTGAAAAACTATCGGACTTACTCCATTCAAAGTTGGTGTTAGCATTGGGCGTCTCAACGTGCGTGATTCCTATGCACCCTGCCGATGTGAGTTGATTGGTTCAACTGTACCATATGGCCCTGTGACCCTGGGGTAGCATTAAGCAGATGGCTGTTTCAATGAATGCTCGTGCCACCCGTGACGAAAGGTCTGGTTGTTGATGAAATATAGTGATTGATATAGCTAAATAGACGGATTTTTTATTCATGCACCGATTGTCTTTAACTGTAATATCTAGTTATGTATGACACAGTATATATGTTTAATAATCTCATACCAACTTTGACTTGAGTAGGTCCGATAGTTTTTTTTCATATATTGTAGTAGACGTCGGTACCTTAATTTACCTTCCAGACTATACACCACTGGAATATTTGTTATGTATAATTCATATATTTTCCACTGCTCCTTCCTCTTTACACCCGCTGGAATCCCATTTGTCGGATAATGGTAAATGGCTATTCTCTGTCGTTGAAGCTCTTATTGTCAAAATGTTTCAAGTAATTATAATTGCTTAAGTCATAGCACATTCCAAGACTATTGGTACATGTGGATGCTGAGGTCTAGTTCCAGTTCCTATTTTGGACAGGTTGATGTGTTATTTCCAATGGTTGTTGGGTTGGACCCAAATCTCCACATAGCAACATGTGGTGTGTTTGTGTTCTACAAGCTGTCGTTACTTCCAGGGACCCGTTTCACAAAGCGATCTTAGTGCTACGACTGTCGTAAGTCAGTGTTAAAGAATGGGAGTTACGACAGACTTAGCGCTAAGATAGCTTTGTGGAACGGTGCCCAGGTGTCTGGTGGTTGGATGACGTGTCTCTAATTCGAAGAACGGGATAGAACAATGGAATTGGCAAAAGTGCCAGTGGTAGGCTTATGTACACAACCAGAGAATATAATGTCACACACTGGTGATTGCTTCACACTTTGATCTCTCTCATCTACCAGGGAGATGCACCATCCCAGCCCTCTTTGTATTGGACGAGCACTGAGCATGTTAGTGGAATGTAATTTTGCAACTTAAAACTCCACCACCTCTACTCAGATCTGAACAAACTCTGTCCACTGGAGGATATAATAATAATTCTTTATTCATGTACATGTGTAGGCCAGCGGCCCATGGTACAATATTCGGTCCATCATTAACATTTATAGGCTTAGTGTTTGGAGTCTAACATTCATAGCATGGTATATAAAAGTTGCAACATTTCTAATTACAGTTTCATTGTTTACCGCCATAAGCATATTGAATTTAGCAAGAGTAGGATGTACAAAATGCTTCTGTGGTAAATACTGAAGACGAAGTTCATCATAAGCGTTACAAATTAATAAAAAATGATATTCATTCTCGACATATCTTTGGTTGCAACTATTGCACAATCTCTGCTCTCGTGGAGTATTAACGTATCTACCAGTCTCAATATGGAGAGTGTGGGAGCTACAGCGAAACTGGGCTAGTGCAACACGAAATTTGTTGATAGTGATAGCAGACAAATACAACTCTAGACTGAATGAATTTTTGAAAAGTGTATAATGGAACATTTTAGAACTATTTGCTAAAGACCAATGCCAGTCCTGTTCGTAAGCAAATTTTAACCGATCTTCACATTCGGAAATAAATGATTCGGGGCAAATAACATATTGGTTCTCCCATATATATCCAAATCCAAGGCTGTATAAAAGAGTTTTGACTTTTGTAGCCCAATTAGTTTTACCATGTGTGGCTAGCTGAAATAACATATCATAACTTTTCTTAGGATATCGTGAATTTGGTAGGGACATAAGTTTACACCAATATTTTATACAGCGTTTATACGCAGAAATGTACAGTGGGTATCTTCCACACTCTCCTCGCACAACATGATTGGGAGTAGGCGTTTTAACACCTAGCAGACGTTTACAAGCAAGTACATGGATACTTCCTATTTCTTTGCAGGAGGATATAGTATGTACTTCTATTTCAAACTCAACGGGCACGGACATGTTAATTACTAACCGGCCTTTTCAAATTCTAAACTCTTAATATCTTATCTTGCAAAGATTAAAAACAGACACATTCTGATTATGGAATATAGCTTTTTATTGTCATTTCTAAAATGTGAATCAATCGTTATATAAGAATCGTCTGGGTAGATGCCCGCCCTCTTCATTAAATAAAAGCGACAAAGCCCTTCAGATATTTATAAGAAAGATTTGCCTTCCATTGTACAATTCCGACTATATCATGAATATGTGCTTATGAATCACTATCAAATAGTGATGACTCCAGGTTTTCGCAAAAAGGTGAGAATACTCATACCCCGCCCCACCGGTGGCACCTGTAACAAACACATGCAAAGACAAGTCAATTGTTCCCCTGAACAAACACGGGAACACATGCTACAGGTCAACCAGGAGAATTGCATCGAACACACTGATGAGTCAAATTTGGATATTTCCTTCACGTCTACCATTACACCGGTGATTGTACAGGAGAAAAGGTCGGGTAGTCCAGTGGTTAATGCGTTCGCAGGTCACGCGGAAGGCCCGGGTTCGAATCCTTGCATGGACACATTGTGTGAAGCCCATTTCTGGTGTCCACTGCTTGAAACTGATGGACATTTGGTAAAAGCGTCGTAAAACCATACTCACTCACTCCACGTTAGAACGTGGAGTAAAAGCTGGAAACTCGTTCCCGCAAAACTAAGTTGTAAATGCAGTAAATGACCACACAGGATCTATAAGAAACATTATATTACATTTAAAAACACACTTTTAGGCTGACAATCCAATTGGTACCAAAAAAGGTAGTGGTATATATGTTAGTGCGCTTACGAATGTTCAGACTATTGTCACTGTTGAATATCGTGAAAGAGTCATGTCGTCCTTCTGGTATCCAGAAAAGAGTTTGAACCTTACTGGATTACAAAGAGGTTTACAGCTGCACTTGGCAATACGATTGTTAAAGGTCGAAAAAGACCTCGAATCACTCTCTTGTCACTCTCATACGTATACAGCAAGCCGTAGGAACTGTCCCATCCAGAAACTTCCCCGACGAACAAGCCTGCTAAAGATCATGGGCAAATAAACAAAGGTAGATAACTCTATTTCTAGTACAAAGCCATTCTGCTTAATCTTAACCGTAGTTAAACCATTAGACTCTTGGAACAATCATATCTACAACAACCACTAACATTACTTACACATGGCAATATATCCGATTATGAGACAAATTATATAAACAAAATATACTTCCAAATATACATCATCTGGAAATATATAACATGGTGATTAAAGTAACATGGACGATGGAATTTAAAAAAAATAGCTAAAAATAATAAAGAAATCATATCTTGTATCTGTAGATTAATTTTGTATCCGGTGAAATCAAGAATCCTTCATATTTGCTGATTTTGTGGACAATGAATGAATGTCTACAGGTTGAGTGTCTCATGGTAAAATGTTTAGATGCATGTATCATGACTGCTTAATTGTAGGGAGACATGGTATGCTGACATGTTTTTAAATGCTTTTATCGCATTACGAACTAACGAGAGGAATACAGGATATTTTCGTATGGTCCACACACATGGAATCTTTTACGGAAGTAAGTGGACACCCAGAGTATTTCTTTATGAGGCCACAGCACAATTGTATAGTAGCCCCAATGACTTCCGTTTCTCCTGGTGAGTTACATTTTCTTATCAAGTGTAAATCAAGTGGTTCAGTAAGAATAAGTAACACTTTTAGAAATGTCAGCATTGGTGCCCAGATTCATCAACCGTATAAACATTACTGGTTTTAGCTTAGTTTTTGGGTGTGTGCTTTTCCCTATTTTCGCTTCCTTTTTCTAATTCTAGCTGATGCATCTTTTGCCGACTTCCCAATAAGTACTCACCGACCCTTCTACGATAGCGCACTAGAATTATGACAATAATAATAATAATGACTCCCGTGACAGACAGTCCGATAGCAAGACCTGTATTGTCATCTGCTGGTCCAGTGGATACGCTTCCCTCTGTTGTTGGTTTTTCAGGTGTTGCTTGTGAACCTGTCAGTGCCGTATTTCCAAGGCTTGAGTTAGGTATTTCTAAAACATCGAAAGATCATCAACGTCAATACAGTGACATTCAGTCATCTGAGTAACGCAAATCTTGCTCAGGTGGAATTTACACAGATAACGACACACAGGAGCTTCCGAATCACAATCATTATAACGGATATTTTCAAAACTAGAAAAGAACATTCAATTAATATTTTCCAGAATGGGATTCAATATAGAATCTCACCCATGATTCTCGGAACAAGCCTCGGACCTTTTCCACTTTTATCAACTCGTGTTGATTTATTTAATATCAAAAGACACCAGGGTGAGATTGTATCAGCCAATATTATTCTTAAATCGAAATACGCGAAGAAAAAATCTGTGATCTATAAAAGCGATATATTCAATGTATCCCCCGTGGGAAGCCCAATTTGCTTCTTTGGCATCACTGTGAAGTGTTGATTAGTCATGCTTGCCATGAGAACAGGGTGACTTTTTCTGAATGTGGCGTATAACAGCACTCCAAACAAGACATCATGACAATCAAATACTCCTGGAATAGTCCAGGGTCTCGGTGTAAGGGGCATCCATTGATTGGACCACTTTGAGAACAACGTACCTGTCGATGTCGCTGATGCTGTAGATCTGGAAGGAGCCGCTGGAACATAAGATGTTACACCGTAAAGTCGGATCACAGAATATTCACAGAATGAGGTCTGAACGTATCTACCCTGCAGAGATGTTAAGAATTACAATATGAGCTTTATCAAGAGGACAACAGCTGCTGGAACATAAGATGTTACACCGTAAAGTCGAATCACAGAATATTCACAGAATGAGGTCTGAACGTATCTACCCTGCAGAGATGTTAAGAATTACAATATGAGCTTTATCAAGAGGACAACAGCTGCTGGAACATAGGATGTTACACTGTAAAGTCGGATCACAGAATATTCACAGAATGAGGTCTGAACGTAACTACCCTGCAGAGATGTTAAGAATTACAATATGAGCTTTATCAAGAGGACAACAGTGGTATTTTAACACAGTAGCTTGACAGTTTGAGTTCTCCTATAAGAAATAGTACCGGAAACAATTATCACCTAAATTGTACATGACACAAATAACAAAACTAGCTTTTCCAAACGATTTTGCCTTATATTGTTTCACATTATTGATCAGAATACATAACAAATTGTACCTCTAGACGTGGGTCCAACTGTTGTGGTTGTGGGAACAGCCTCTGTGAAGAGATAAACATTTGCCCTTTTACTTCGTAGACGTGTCACTAGAGTTGTGTTATAATTATAGACACGTCTTTGTTGTTGTTATTATTCCTTGAAAACTTTCTTAATACAGACGCACCTTCTAACCCATTGTCAAGTATTTGACATGAACTTATTGAATATCACTTCAATAATGTAATTGAATGATAACGTTTATAGCCTCGCTGTCAGGGCCAAGTAGCCAAGGCATTTCCAATCACCTGCATCTAGAGAGTGCAGTGCGGAAAGTAAACTCTTATACTATAAGCGTATTTATTAAGTATTTTAATAATGAATGTGAGCAGTATCAGGATATATTTTAAACAAGACATACTCACTTGAGATCTTCGGTAAGAAATAGTACTAGAAATAATATGTCACCTGAATTAAACGTGAACACACTCAGTGATAACGCTACTTGTATGCTTTCATGTGAAAATACCCTGTAGTTTTTGTCTTATATTGTTCATACTATTGATCAGCTGAACCTTGAGACGCGGGTCTTTCAGCTGTGGTTGTGGGAGCAGCCTCTGTAAATAGCATATCATGTGCTGTTTCCCTTAATGTATTATGTGTGTGTTGTATGATATTTCTGCAAAAACATTTCCATGTAGTAACGTAGTCCATGGACAGCTCTCATATGGTGTACGTATTGTTGGGAAGTTGCTTTCATGTTGGATTTCTTTACCAAAGGAGAGAAAGTACTACGTATATAAAAAAAATGGTTTGATACCGTGGTTACCTTGTTTTTTTCTATAATGTGTCATCGTATCGTTTGTGAAAAAATCTTAACAACCATAAACTATCAATTATAAAAAAATAATATGTAACAGTAATTTGACAATTTCATCGTGACCTCTCTGGGTCTTGTGTTTTCGACTTTGAACATTTTGGTTTCAATGAAAGCGACGAGACTCTTTTCGTTATCTTAATGATTATTTGTGCGATTCCGACTGTTGTGCGTCACTGTCAAATTGTATTGAGAGCACATGTTTGAAAAAAGGTGAGCGAACCCTGCCTCCCTGGTAGCACCCTTTACAAACACACGCAAAGGCAAGTCAAGTGTTTATCTAAAATATGGTACAAGTCTAATTGTGGAATTGCATCGGACATCAACTTGGTCACCAATGCATCAGGTTTTAATCTGCCCTCATACGACTCCCATGGAACGTTTATTTAAAACTTTACTAATTAAGGCCTTGATTGTTATGATCCTGATCAAAGAACTTTTTATTCAACGTCGAATGGCTTTCTAACTTTTAACTTATTTTAGATTTCTGATGTATCTAAGTTTATAACTTCTATGTTCTATCCTTGTTTGTATAAAACCTAGTATCAGCACAGTGGTTCCGTAGATTCCGTAAGTTTTTCGACAAATATATTCAATGTTTTTGTTTTGTTTTGTTGTTTAACGCCCAAATGAGCAATATTCCAGCTATATGGCAGCAGTCTGTAAATAATCGAGTCTGGACCAGACAATCCAGTGAGTAACATCATGAACATCGACCTACACTATTGGGATACATTTATCAACCAAGACAGAGAGCCTGACCACATGATCCCTTTAGTCGCCTCTTACAACAAGCATTGTCGCCTTTTACGGCAAGCATGCGTTGCAGATGACCTATTCTACCCCATGTATGACAATGAATACCAACCACTCAGTTTAACAATACCACCGCAGGTGAGGGTCTCCGTGTTGTTGCCACACATAAAGTTGACACTGACGTCTCCAAACCGATCGGCTGTGACAATGAGGGAGGAAATTAAAGCTGAATCAGATATATTGTCCATTGTCTGGTTCTGTAGGAGTATATTTGTAACGGCAGCAGTAGTCAGAGTAAATCCAGCTTGTTGAGAACAGTAGTAGTTCTGGATGTCTACTGTCAGAGTGAGATTAGTGCCAGGTTCCAGGGCGTTGGTGTCCATGTCACTGCTGATGTTGCACTGTGGTGGACCTGGTTGTAAAGAAGCAAATGTACTTAATACCGAAGTATTAGCAGTGTCATACCAATATCATGACGAGGAAAGCAAACACATCAACGTAAACCACAAAATACACTGCCAGTATGAAAACGGCGAACTGTGCGAGTAAAAGTTAAAATTTCATACATTCTACATCCTACATCCAACATCCTCGACAACAACAACAGCAACAACAATAGTAATGATAATAATGATAATAATGTGTTGTTGATTAGACAAAAAAAGAAAATCAGGGTATTGACACCCTTACACGAAGAGTGAGTGAGTGAGTGAGTATGGTTTTACGCCGCTTTTAGCAATATTCCAGCAATATCACGGCGGGGGACACCAGAAATGGGCTTCACACATTGCACCCATGTCGGGAATCGAACCCGGGTCTTCGGCGTGACGAGCGAACGCTTTAACCACTATGCTACCCGACCGCCCCCCTTACACGAAGAATCATGTCAGACAATAGATCCCACCACCCTCGCTCTTCCCTCAGTCGCTAATATTTACCAATTATGATGAAAGGGCGTGGTTTAATTGCACTTTTGCACACAATTATTTGTATGATGATCCTCTTATGAAGCATGTCAAGACTCACGATGAAAACAAGGCATTCCACAGTTTGGTTAAACGGGCCAAGGATGTAGGACATAATCTCAATGTCATTCTTGATTATGTTGATGGTTCTGTACTGCTGGACGGTTCAGAAATGAGTGTCAACCAAGCGAAGTGCCACATCAAGTCGACCCAGATTCAGTTTTTTCAAGGAGAGGCTATCTAAACGGCCACTGCATCGAATTTATGTGCAGTGTGTTAGTAAGCAACCCTGCAGAGTCCTTCGTTTGGATGAAGCTGACTGGCATGAAACGTTAAACAGAAGGCTTTCTGTTTGCTGCTCAGTCACTTCCCAATTGAAACCGAGACTGTCCAACACATTTTCAGTGGATGCCAAGCTTTGGCACAAAGACAGTATCTTTAGCGACATGATGGCGTGACTTGATCATTTGATTACCGTCTTCGCCATGCTTGTGGTTTTGACACAGAGGTCCACCCATGGTACGACCCGGAATATATAGAGAGTGTCATGGAGAATGATAAATACAATATCCTTTTGAATAGGCCCGTTGACAGCCTCAGACGTATCCAGGCCAACACACCTGATCTTTTCCTTTTTGATAAATCCAATGAAATCATTTATATCATTGAACTTTCTGTCCCTTTTGACACTAATGAGATTGACAAGATTCAGAAAAAAACATGGCAATATGCAGACCTCGCTTTCGGTTTCTTGAAGATTCTGGTTAGAATAGGTCTACAGCAACCCATGCTTGCCGTAAAAGATAACTATGCTTGTCGTAAAGGGCGACAAACGGGATGTGGTGGTCAGACTCGCTGACTTGGTTGATCCGACTCCCCATTGTTCTCAGTGCCTTAGGTTCGGTACATCCCAATCTGTTGACTGGCCTTGGGAGAGTACCCCGGTTTGCCATAAGGAATACAGCTCTTCTGACCATCTGGAAAATGCAGAAGGCTGCAGTGTTGGGGAGTCTTCACATTCTCTGAAACGTTCTAGGTGGGTTTGACTAGGCAGCGCTTCCCGGGATAAGTCCCATTCACTGTCTTGGCTGCGTGTAGAAGGGGTAAGGGCCCTGAGCTGATGATAAGTCTAGCCAGCCTGACTGTGCCAGGATCTTCCAAACCCTCTTTACTGCATTTTTTATTTTTTTCTGTACATAATAATGATAAAACATATGCAATATATAAAACATGTCGATCACGGACATTACGAGTACAATATAACATGGTTCGTGTCATGGATGACGTTTTTTCAGCAATACAAGACGTCACAGTGATATGCTAAAAGTAAGGCAACGTGGACCAAGAAGTGTCAGCTAACATGGATATATGAACAGCTTGTGTCAGAAGATCAACTTGAATAACAACTCACTTTTCAACAGGTCCTGGATACCCTCACACTGCAGAGGCCAACTTCTGTCACACATGAAGTTTATCGACACATCGCCTAATCGGGTGATATCTACGTTGAAGGTTGTGTTAAGGGTTGAGTTTGATACAGCACTGACGTTGTGTTTCATGGTCAACGCTTCAGTCACAGCACCAGTAGTCAGATCAAAGCCCACCTCCCGAGAACAGTAGTAGCCTGTGATGTCCACTGTTAAAGTCAGCTGTGCTCCAGGTTCCAGGGAGTCGGTGTCCTCGTCACTGCTGATGCCACACTGTGGAACACCTGGTGGCAGAATTATGTGAAGAAAGTGTTTTAACAACACAAAACTGACATGTTTGTGAAAGTGAGTTAGGATAATCTGACAACATCTATTGCTCATCCAAATAAATCATTAACACATTCGTTCTCTGTTTCTTTTGAAACGCGTGTTACCAAATGTCTTCAGGGTTTTTCTATGACTGGATGATAATCTTTAATCTAGATACTGACTATTTCAATAGTGTTGGAACTTAATTACTTGTCAAACAGTTATAAAACCGTGGAGTGTAAGGTAAGCTACATGGCCGTACAGCAACCTTGGACCTCCAACGCGACACAGGCTAAACGTACGTGAATTTATATTTCTTAGAACAAAGCATAGTGTTTCGACAAATTTCCTTGAAATCAATTTGATAAACAAATACTGTTCTAGATTTCACTTGCAATTTTATTTATAAATATATTAAGAATCAGAGATTAACGGAACACAAATGGAATCCAGCCAGGATAAATCAGATAACTACGATATGTACTCATGAGAGGAAAACATTCAACACTCACTAACTGTCGTCAGCGGACACACGTCGACAGGGATGGCATCTACGACAGTCGCATCCACGATCTTCCATGTACCAGCATCTGCCACCCCAACATTGTGTATAGTGAGTGTAGAGTGTGTGGTGTTCATAGTTGCACTGTATCCAGCCACCGGGCTGCAGCTGGGGTTGCAGGTGACGACATACCGGTCATCAGTTGGTCGTACCCATACTAAACCTGTGTAGTTTCTTCTGTCACCTACTATTGTGTACTCTGTTCCTAGCAGACCGACACCCCCCGGACACCTAGGATCTGACGGAGCAGCATCTAGAATGAAATAGTGATTGTTACTGATATTGCTTTTAAAATACCTTCTCTTGTATGGTGGCACTGGCGGCCAAGTCGTTATTGGCACCGCAATTTATTTTGTGTCAGCGCCATAGCTGTTAACTTCAACGGATATAAACCACTAAGACATGCATGACTTTCCTCCCGCATTAAGCCGATGCGCCATGATGTATCTGCTTTAAACCCTCAGTCGCTTTTACCTGGGATAAAGCCACTGGTATTGAGCATATGAACCATCGTCACTTTTATGAAGATTGCAATACTAGTTATGATTTGATAACGTGTGATGAATTTCAGACAGCATGGGACGTCACTCATAATACCAAACTCTGACCCGTTTTGACACAGATGGGGCATTGCTGTTAAACAACACTCAAACAGCAGAAAGAGCTGAAACCAGACAAGCGGTGGCAGTGCGACAAGATAACTGCTACAGACCTCAGTGCTATTTTAGTCCAGCAGTTTAATGATATTTTAATGATTTATAGTGAATACCTGTAGTTGGAAGACTTGCTGATGTAGTTGTGAACACGGCTATGTCTGTTCCTTCCGTTGTTTCTGCTGATGATAACACTGTTGACAAAAATGTCATTGTACATGCAAGAAAACAGAAGACAGGATGCGTGCATTGCACACGTACAATGACCCATTATTGCAGGTATAAGTCATAGGAAAACGATGAGAGATAAAGGACCATGACAGCGATGGACAAAACTATGTAATACAACGTATTGGTTTCTGTTTGTCCGTTGTTTAACGCCGCAATACTCTAGATGTATGAAGTGAGGTGAGGTGAAATCGGGTTTAACGTCGCGTCCAAGATTATTGCACTTATATAGCGACGTACATGCGCGTGTGTGGGTGTGGCTGCTTGTACTAGACCGGACTGATGCCGATTTATAGTGCTAGCTCACTGAGATACCATGCTGCTCCCCGGGCGGACGCTCGACCACTAGACCACGGAGGCGGTCTCTAGCTGTACGAAGGTGTTCTGTAAATAATCCAGCCTGAAACAGACTATTCATTGACTGACAGCATGGGCATCGATCCAGGCAATAGGGATGCGATGATATGCATCAGTCAAGTCAGCAAGCCTGACCACCCGATCCCGTTAGTCGCCCTTTATGACTAGAGTGGGTTGCTAAAGACCCACACTAACCAGGATCTTGACTAGGGTGTTTCGTTGCAATGATTAAATATGTAGAAATGAGTACGTTATCTCAGCAACATGGATTGTTTCCAATTTGTAATAGTGGGATCGTGGTAATTTAAATGTGCATGAGTGTGATGATAAATGTTTCACTTTCGGCAAGTACCTGATGTTGTATTTGCATCCCCTTGAGTAGAGTAATAATTATCCGCATTGAATAATAATTATCCGCATTCGTTATTGCAACTGCAAGACATTATCTAACTAGCCTTCAAACTTCATTCATAGTGCCTAAGAGAGTCCCTATGTCTTTATTTTACATGCTGCCCTTCCTGCCATCCCTCGTCCATGAGGTACCTTAGCTCACAACTATCTGAAGCATATGCATGATTTACAGTGTGTACCAACGGATAAAATAGCTCTGCTTCATACAAATTCAATAGGAATAGTGTTATTCCGAAATTAGATTATGCATCTTTCAATACATATTCATGCAAACATCTCTTTGATTGAAATTTGGAATCAACATATTTCGGGCCTTTTTGATCACCTGGTCTCTTCATTGCAATAACTGCCTCACCTTGCACCAACTGCCCCACCTTGCACCCACTGACTCACCTTGCACCCACTGACTCACCTTGCACCAACTGCCCCAGCTTGCACCCACTGCCTCACCTTGCATCCACTGACACACCTTGCACCAACTGTCCCACCTTGCACCCCCTGACTCACGTTGCACCCACTGACTCAACTTGCACCCACTGACTCACCTTGCACCAACTGCCTCACCTTGCACCCACTGACTCACCTTACGCCCACTGACACACCTTGCACCCACTCACTCACCTTGCACTCACTGCCTCACGTTGCATCCACTGACACACCTTGCACCAACTGTCCCACCTTGCACCAACTGCCTCACCTTGCACCCACTGACTCACCTTACGCCCACTGACTCACCTTGCACCCACTCACTCACCTTGCACCCACTGCCTCACCTTGCATCCACTGCCTCACCTTGCACCAACTGCCCCACCTCTTGCACCCACTGACTCACCTTGCACCCACTAACTCACCTTGTACCTACTGTCCCACCTTGCACCCACTGACTCACCTTGCACCTACTGCCCAGCATTGCACCCACTGACTCACCTTGCATCAACTGCCCTACCTTGCACCCACTGCCCCACCTTGCACCCACTGCCTCACCTTACACCCACTGCATCACCTTGCACCCACTGCCTCGCCTTGCACCCACTGCCTCGCCCTGCACCCACTGTCCCACCTTGCACCCACTGACTTACCTTGCACCCACTGCCCCACCTTGCACCCACTGCCTCACCTTGCACCACTGACTCACCTTGCACCACTGCCTCACCTTGCACCCACTGCCTCGCCCTGCACCCACTGTCCCAGCTTGTACCCACTGACTTACCTTGCACCTTCTGCTTCACCTTGCACCACTGACTCACCTTGCACCACTGCCTCACCTTGCACCCACTGCCTCGCCCTGCACCCACTGTCCCATCTTGTACCCACTGACTTACCTTGCACCTTCTGCCTCACCTTGCACCACTGACTCACCTTGCACCACTGACTCACCTTGCACCCACTGCCTCACCTTGCACCACTGCCTCACCTTGCACCCACTGACTCACCTTACTCCCACTGCCTCACCTTGCACCCACTGCCTCGCCCTGCACCCACTGCCTCGCCCTGCACCCACTGCCTCGCCTTGAACTCACTGCCTCACCTTGCACCAACTGCCTCACCCTGCACCCACTGCTCCACCTTGCACCCACTGACTCACCTTACACCCACTGCCTCACCATGCACCCACTGCCTCGCCCTGCACCCACTGCCTCACCTTGCACCCACTGCCTCACCTTGCACCCACTGCCTCACCTTGCACCAACTGACTCACTTTGCACCAACTGACTCACGATGCACCCACTGCCTCACCTTGCATGAACTGCCCCATCTTGCACCAACTGCCTCACCTTTCACCCACTGCATCACCTTGCACCCGTTGCCTCACCTTGCACCACTGACTCACCTTGCACCCACTGACTCACTTTGCACCAACTGACTCACCTTACACCCCTTGTGTCAGAAGCTACATCAAGCTGTATCAACTACAACATCAGCAAACACACTCCAAATCGACGTCCATTCAAATCGATCAGGAGTTACAGCCCTTCCTATAGTTCGACAACCTCGTGTGAAGCGGTTTAATTTGCCGTTGATTAACACTTTCTCCACCAAACACAGTCCAGGCGTGAAATGAATCGGAGACAAAATGTGCAAAGACGCTATTCCTTTGAGCAAATAGTAGTTTACAGCGTTACGCTTTAAATACTTAAGCCCGAATTAAACGTAGTATCACTAAATGCAGGTTGGGCATGTCCATATCTTTCGCTGACGTTCCAGCTACATCTACATTACTGTTTTGGTATTGCGCCTGCATCTACAGCCATGGCGGGGTACCTCCATCATCCTTGCTGACCTAATACATGTAATGTGCCACACATGTCAACATACCTGTCGTAGTCCCAGGTGTCGAAGAGGCTTTCACTAGAAACAGAAATGTTGATGATTAGACAGACCGCACAGTCTTTTAATTCTCCATGCGAGATATCCACACGTCATCTTTGTTTTTCTATTAAACTGTCGTGCAAAAGAAAGTAAAGCTTGAAAATTGAATTTGACCCCGAAATAAAAAGGTTCTCAAAACGTTAATAGGCTAAAAACTGCTGAAAGACGGCAAACTTAAGGTCCAAAACAAAACTATGATAGACATACATAATTCGACGTCGCCATCAAATAAACGTTTCTTGTTTGTTTCATTTTCGACACCATCCAACATAGGTGTACACTATAGTTGAGCCGTCAGTTAAGTTATCAAAAAATATTACGTGTTGATATTATCAATGTGTTAATATCAATTGTTTAGCAAACAGTTCACAAAAGATTCCCTTTTACTTAAATGACAAGGCCCATAGTTCCTAAAATATAAATCGTCAACGCAAAAGAATAAGCATATCGATTATCTGCCGAACCCAATTCCATTGGGGGTAAAAGGCAAACTAATGATTGGGAAATTATACGAATTGACCCCTGACCTCATGGATGACGCAGTGTTCGCGAAATGCCGCAATATCTCAGAATACGAAGTGAACGTATGTTCTTATCCACCACAAAACAGCTCTTACATTAAGAATCGGAACAACTGTGTTCATTATACATACATTTATATACATGCAATATAGATGCAAACATCATTATAAATTCATTGAAAAGATTTTATCGGACTTCATTATCTACGTCAGCAGCGTTACTACTTTGCTTATCCGTATATTAAACTCCATCTAGAAGCTGCCTTTACTAAGTTATGTTATAAATCTGACAGAGTAGCTGAGCTAAGAATAGCATGGCTCTGAAGGCTTGTGCAAATAACATGCACTCTGCTCAAAACATGAACAAAATGCACTCTGCTCACCACAGAAGGACGCAACAGCCAGGATCAGAAGCACCAGAAACTGACTACCACTCTGCGTCATCTTCTGTCGAAGTAGATCCTGTGAAAATATTGCTGATACTTGAAAAAAAGCTCCTCTCAAAAGTGAGTTCACATGAATGATAGCATTGAAGTGTATTTTAAGAAAGCAGTTCAGGAAGACTGTTTACATTCAGGCATTTAATGCATGGTAATTCGTTGAATAATGCATGTTGGACGGATAGGTTAATTCAGTTTCACAGTACACTATGGTGTATATGTCACTATGGCAAGGTTTTATGGTAGAGCGTAGCCCCGAAGAGCGGAAGCTCCGGGATTCGAATCCGACCACGTCATACCAAAAGACGTTAAAAGATGGAACTTGTTGTTTCTCTGTCTCGCGTTTGGCATTAAAGGTCTAAAACAAAGAAAGGTCGGCTTGGAGTCAGTATACTGGTTTGTGTGGGGTAATCATGTTAAATTGTGGTATGGTATCTTATTCGGATGGCACTATAAAACCATTAGCCCCGCTAGTACAAGCAGCCACACACACACTGCATGCACATCGCTATATAAGAGTGATAATCTTGAATGCCTCACCTCACCTCACCTCACCTCACCTAACCTCACCTCACCTCACCTCACCTCACCTCACCTCACCTCACCTCACCTCCCTCCACCTCACCTCACCTCACCTCACATCACCTCGCCTCACCTCACCTCCCTCCACCTCACCTCACCTCACCTCACCTCACCTCACCTCACCTCACCTCACCTCACCTCACCTCCCTCCACCTCACCTCACCTCACCTCACCTCCCTCCACCTCACCTCACCTCACCTCACCTCACCTCACCTCACCTCACCTCACCTCACCTCACCATGTCAAGGAGGCAGGGGCACCTGGTAAAGCCATGTAAAGAAGCACTATGGTGCGTGCCAGCTCCCGACACTGTGTATCGCTTGTAATCCATAAACATTAAGCCATGACACAAAACATTTGAACATGATACTTAGCGGGTTACAAACAATTACAGAGGAGACAGCGTAGGTGCGCCTCCATACTCATAAACAGTGTGACTCCTGTTACAAAACCTACAGAAGACGATAATAGTCTATAAGAATGCCTGTACACACAAACCCGTCCGCCGCAACACACGCCCCCCTAGCAATCACCTTGTCTCTCCCCTTGTCTGACTCACTGTCCTGTCATCTATCTGACTCTCTACATCGAATCTCGGCCCTCGCCCATCTTACAGTTTCTACCATCCATTTCACCCCACTGTACCATCCATATCACCCTCTCTACCATCAATCTCACCCCCTCTACCATCAATCTCACCCCTCTCTACCATCAATCTCACCCCCTCTACCATCAATCTCACCCTCTCTACCATCAATCTAACCCCTCTCTCACATCAATCTCACCCTCTCTACCATCAATCGCATCCCTCTCTTCTATCAATCTTATTCCTCTCTTACATCCATCTCACTCTCTCTACCATCAATCGCACCGTCTATACCATCAATCTCACCCCTCTCTACCATCAATCTCACCCTCTCTACCATCAATCTAACCCCTCTCTCACATCAATCTCACCCTCTCTACCATCAATCTCATCCCTCTCTTCCATCAATCTTATTCCTCTCTTACATCCATCTCACCCTCTCTACCATCAATCGCACCGTCTATACCATCAATCTCACCCTCTCTACCATCAATCTCATCCCTCTCTTCCATCAATCTTATTCCTCTCTTACATCCATCTCACCCTCTCTACCATCAATCGCACCCTCTCTACCATCAATCTCACCCGTTATACCATCAATCTCACCCCTCTCTACCATCAATCTCATTCCTCTCTACCATCAATCTCATTCCTCTCTTCCATCCATCACACCCGTTAAACCATCCATCTCGGCAATCTACCATCAATCTCATTCCTCTAGCATCACCTCAGCCCTATCTACTATCAATCTCACCTCTCTCTACGATCCATATCATCCCTTCTATCAACCATCTCACCATCTCTACATTCCATCTCGTCCTTCCTTCTATCCCAATCCACCATTTCAACCACGTCTCATACCCACCCGCATTATTTCCATCTATAAAACAAATCTCTTTTTAATCTTACATCAACCCCTAGTCATACTGCAGTTACACAGTCCTTACAAAAGAGCTAATTCATTTCTTTTCATTCCCGGGGATGCTATTAAAATAAGAAAAAGACAATCGTGATGTATGAAAACATATAATGCAACCACATAAATGTAAAGTTACCTCATATGCTACTATATTGATGTGTATGCATGGCAACGACTAATACAACCTCTACTATCGAGGTCACATCCGGGTTAGAATAGGTCTTCAGCAACCAATGGGAGGTTACCTATGGAATGGGGTGGTCAGGCTTACTGACTTGGTTGGTGCATGTCGTCGTATACCGTCTGTGTAGATCATGAGGATTGTTTCATCCAGACTCAATTGTCTGCAGATCGCTGTCATACAGCTGGACTTTAGCTGAGTACGGCGTTCAATAACAAGCAAGCAAACAAACAAACAACGAAAATAATGCTTGCTCTCAGCCATATATGTTGCTATTATTTCCACACTGTTGCTTGTATGCCTTCTAACTGTAAACAGATGAGCCTTGAACGACAAACCAGTGGTTGATATAATGAACGTCCCATGCCGTCGGGGTCGCATACCGAAAGACGTTAACTTATTGTACTTGGCGTTCGGCATTATGGGAATAAAACAAAGGCTGTTCGGCTCGGGGTCAGTACTGTGTCTGAGTACCTATCCATGTTAACTGCAGCATGGTATTTCAGTCCGGACTGGTACATGCAATCACACACAGACGTTCAAGCAGGTTGCTATAGTGAGTGAGTGAGTATGGTTTAACGCCGCTTTTAACAATATTCCAGCAATATCACGGCGGGGGACACTAGAAATGGGCTTCACACATTGTACCCATGTCGGGACTCGAACCCAGGTCTTCGGCGTGGCGAGCGAACGCTTTAACCACTAGGCTACCCGTACGGCCCCAGGTTTCCATAGAGTGAATGAGTATGATTTTACGCCGCTTTTAGCTATATTCGAGCAATATTACGGCGGGGAACACCAGAAACTGTCCTCACATATTGTACCCAAGTGAGAATCTAACCCGGGAGTTCAGCTCGACAAGAGAACGCTTTAACCACTACCACTACCTCATCGCCCCACGTCGCTGTAGAAGTGCGACTTTCAACCTCATTTCACCTCACCTTCAAATACCATCATGGAAGGGTATGGGAACTCACCAGCTATGTCGACGTAACGGTACAATACTCTACTTGGAGCAATTGAGGTTACGTCCTCTGCGGCACTGTCCAAGCGAGAGTACTGTCCACCATGCACGAGACTTGCAACCTTCCAGAAGGCTGAGTCACGTGGAATAACCCTGTGAATGTATCATATAACTATCAGCGGAACACTTGCTCGATTGCGTCATATTAACTGAATACACATCAAGGTATGTTTGCTATATGGGAGAACGGACATCGCCCCTCGTCGTGTTACCAGCACGTGGTGACGGGACATATTCTGCACTGGGCTCCCTTCAGGGAACAAACAGAGGGCACGTGGTGACGGGGCATATTCTGCACTGGGCTCCCTTCAGGGAACAAACAGAGGGCACGTGGTGACGGGGCATATTCTGCTCTGGGCTCCCTTCAGAGAACAAACAGATGGCACCAGAGTCGACTTTATTCAGGTCGTCATAAACATTTCCGTGTTTATGAACACTAATGTAATGACAAACCATGTTTCGTTTAAATATAGTCTAATCGTATGTCCATGTTGCTTTATGCCGCAGTCTTAAATAGTCACTGACTATCCGATTTGTCATCTCTTACAGCAAGCTTGACGGAAAACAAGATATTGTCCCGGAGCATCCTTGAAAATAAATGTTCTTCAGACTGTTCAAATATGATAAAGTTGTCAGCCAACACATATTGACGTGTTGGGATATGTTTAATATTTACACTCTTAGAATTAATGAGGATAATATCTGGTTGTGGAGATGTAGCTGCAGATGTAGAGGCAGGAAATGCAGGTTTATCAAAGGCTGGCTCAGTAAATGTTATACATAAGACGATCAAACTAAGTGTGGGCACATATTGTATGACAACGCATCAAGCTGAAGTCATGGACGGGATTAGGCCAAGGCCACCTTCATACTGATATCGAATTCATGGAAGAGCTGCAGATGTAGATGCAGGAACTGTAGGTTAATCAAAGGCTGGCTCAGTAAATGTTATACATAAGACGATCAACTAAATGTGGGCTCATATTGTACGACAACGCATCAAGCTGAAGTCATGGACGGGATTAGGCCAAGCCACCTTCATACTGATATCGAATTCATGGAAGAGCTGCAGATGTAGAGGCAGGAAATGCAGGTTTATAAAGGGCTGGCTCAGTAAATGTTATACATAAGACGATCAACTAAGTGTGGGCACATATTGTACGACAACGCATCAAGCTGAAGTCATGGACGGGATTAGGCCAAGCCATCTTCATACTGATATCGAATTCATGGAAGAGCTGCAGATGTAGATGCAGGAACTGTAGGTTTGTAAAGGGCTGGCTCAGTAAATGTTATACATAAGACGATCAACTAAGTGTGGGCACATATTGTACGACAACGCATCAAACTGAAGTCATGGACGGGATTAGGCCAAGCCATCTTCATACTGATATCGAATTCATGGAAGAGCTGCAGATGTAGATGCAGGAACTGTAGGTTAATCAAAGGCTGGCTCAGTATATGTTATACATAAGACGATCAACTAAGTGTGGGCACATATTGTACGACAACGCATCAAGCTGAAGTCATGGACGGGATTAGGCCGGGGCCGCCATCTTCATACTGATATCGAATTCATGGAAGAGCTGCAGATGTAGATGCAGGAACTGTAGGTTAATCAAAGGCTGGCTCAGTATATGTTATACATAAGACGATCAACTTAGTGTGGGCACATATTGTACGACAACGCATCAAACTGAAGTCATGGACGGGATTAGGCCAAGCCACCTTCATACTGATATCGAATTCATGGAAGAGCTGCAGATGTAGATGCAGGAACTGTAGGTTAATCAAAGGCTGGCTCAGTAAATGTTATACCTAAGACGATCAACTAAGTGTGGGCACATATTGTACGACAACGCATCAAGCTGAAGTCATGGACGGGATTAGGCCGGGGCCGCCATCTTCATACTGATATCGAATTCATGGAAGAGCTGCAGATGTAGATGCAGGAACTGTAGGTTAATCAAAGGCTGGCTCAGTAAATGTTATACCTAAGACGATCAACTAAGTGTGGGCACATATTTGTGACAACGCATCAAGCTGAAGTCATGGACGGGATTAGGCCAAGACCATCTTCATACTGATATCGACATCCCCTGTCGTTGCAAGCCCCCACAGAATGGACCACTTAAAAATCTAGCTGCCCGCTACTTAAAAACGTTGTGTGGGGGATATGTTTCCTTCTGCAAATAGAGATTGACGAGATCAGTGACGAATGTTTCCTAATCTTGAATCTCGAGAAATATTCCAGCAGCTCCAGCCTTTGGTGTTTTCATTTCACGACTCTTGAGATACAATCGAGCGACTCTTGCTCAGAAGTTGTTTGATCAAGGTTACAACATTCAAGGCTTCAGTAAAGCTTTCAAAAAGTTTTATTGTGGACAAATGTGATGCATCAGTGACAAAAAATGTCCGATGCAATTCCCTATTTTGACTTGTACCATACGTTCCCGTGTTTTTTTAAGGTGAACAATTCACTTGCCTTTGCATGTGTTTGTGAAGGGCCTCAATCGTGGGGCAGGATACGCTCACCTTTTCGCGAACACCTGGTATTTGATGGTGATTCATGAACACATGTTCATCATAAAGTCGGACTCGTACAATCGACTCTCCTTTATGCAGAGACTATGTTTATGAAAATGTTTTTCGTTGCTTTGTATCTCCATTCAAAGTCCTCCTCGATGTCTTTTTTAAATTAAGATGTCATAGCAACTGTATAGTGACGCAGCTATTGGTAATCTTGCTTTCCTTCAGTGTGTTCTAATGATGTTCATAAGAAAGAAACTACATACTCCATCAGTGGAAATAACAAGTCCTTTGATGAGATCAGCAACGCATTTGGCAGCTGTCGTTAAATGGTCTATTTAGTATAGTATTACGATTTTCCTGAGGGAATTTGCTTCTCAACCTAAGTATTCGATCCGTGATCCGTTCAAGACTACATCTCTACATCTGACCCATGAAGATCCGGGTTAGAATAGGTCTTCCGCAACCCATGCTTGCTGTAAAAGGCGACTATGCTTGTCGTAAGAGGCGACTAACGCGATCGGGTGGTCAGGCTCGCTGACTTGGTTGATGAATGTAATCGTGTCCGAATTGCGTGGATCGATGCTCATGATATCAGTCACGTGATTGTCTGGTCCAGACTCGATTATTTATAGACCACCGTCATATAGCTGGAATAATGCTGAGTGCGGCGTTAAACAACAAACAAACAAACAGCTTCAAACATGCTTCACATAAGTATTCCACACTTTCTTAGTAGTAAACATTTTTTCTTAAAACGTATTTTGTACACAAAACTTAAGAACATACCCCTCACATTCCTGAATGCCACTTAATGTACATACAATAGAGCAGATAATAGATTGTATCAGTTGAAAGGGTGTACAGACATACAGAATTGAAATATCACCACCTGCCATGTTCACCAAGAGCGCAACGTTATCACAACGTCATCACAACGTCAAGGGATCTCTTCAAACTCGAGAAGTGGCCTTGAACTTTAACGTGGAGTCATGCGATAAAAAACATTAAACTCGAGGATGGCAATATTGGCGTCTCGTCATGCGGCAGAGCCTCGGGATGTATCTCACCGATAGTTGAGGCAGTGTGAAGGCAGGTTATATAGCATACATATGCTTCCCATGAGCTCAAAGCCCAGTTCGTTGATATGGCTATGACCGCAACTCTGCACATTGAATTAGGGCACCGTTACATGTCCACCCGGACCATCTTGGTTTCAATATGTGTTTATTCAGCAGATTAACTGTCTGCCTGGCGTTGACGTTGTATTTTGTTGACATTGTACATGTGGCATTGTATCAAGCATTGGACATGTAGCCAGACTAGAGGCAGAGGAGGTCAAGTACCCTAGTATACCATATGTGTCGTGAGACCCGGCTTAGAGTGAGATCGGGTGGTTTTAATGTGTGACCTGACTGCGAGCGAGTGCCGTGTTTCACGTCGCTTTGAACAGTATTTGAACAGTTATATCCTGGCGTGTCAGCTTAATGTGGGAGGAAAGCCCGAAGTGATGCAGGTCTCAGACGTTTACCGCTTCGGTGAAACCCAAGAGCACGGGTATGGTGCTTACAAACCTAGAAACATAATAGGGGCGAACCGGGGTTCGAACCCAAAATCATAGGTTTATGGCGTGCCCACCTCTGCACATGGAATAGCGGCGCCTTAGACGACTGTGCCGCCCGTGCTCCCGTGTAATGAAAATATAAGTTGTTGACTGATCTCGAGAGGCATATATTTTGATGTACTCCGTGATGTGAGTAATTCAATAAATAATAAATCTCTGGTTTAAACCAGTTACAGTTATTTACAACACAAAATCGGCTTTATGATAAAAAACACACTTTTATGATAACAAACTTAATAGAATGTTAGAGGTATCTGGCCCTAAGGCATGCTTTGGCGTAACCTCAGTAATCCTGGAACGACCTTGTTGACGTAATTCAACATGAGTTGAGAGGTGTTACCCTGCGTTTAGCCATGTTCCAGCAAGTTCACGGCAGAGGAGCACAGAAACTGGGAAAAGGTGAGAATACAACCTGGGCTTCCAAGCGAAGGCTTAGTCCTCCACAACATCTGGCGTTCATCGTCAGAGAGGCCTATTTGGCAGTTAATTTTTGGCTTCACCTCAAGTTTCACTTTGGGATTTCATCTCCCGACAGAAATTGGGGGTTCACCCGGGATATAAAGTAAACACAAACACAACCTACGAAAGACGATTTCTGTCATAGGTCAAGTGTCACTAAGTTTTACGAAAATTCGTGGAAGGCGAACCTTGATAGCTAAACGACTCAGCTACGTCCGCAATGCAATTAGTTCAAATGTATCTAGTAATTCCTGAAGCCTTACGGAAGTGACAGGAAATTATCAAAGTAGTGATGGAAACTTACGAAGGTTACGGCAAACCATGGTGTATCGTGACTCGACTCTACGGACACTTACGAAGGTTACGGCAAACCATGGAGTGTCGTTACTCGACTCTACAGCCACTTACGAAGGTTATGGCAAACGATGGTGTATCGTGACTCGACTCTACGGACACCTAAGAAGGCTACGGCAAACCAAGCTGTGCCATGACTCGGCTCTACGAACACTTACGAAGGTTACGGCAGTATCGTGACTCGACT